TTAAAAAAGGACCTTTTATGGAATCGTGCGAAAAAGTCGCCTGAAAAAGTCATTGCCAAAAGGTGAGTTTAATATTTCAAAATTAAAAGTCCATTAATTTTAAGTTTCGTTAAACAAAAAAAAATAATATTTTATATATTATTAACCCACCCAAAAACTATAAGAGAATACCTACAGTAACAAAAAAAATAAATAAAATATAATAACAAAAAATCATTTACAATAAGTTGACTTTACAGCAAAACACCAAATAAGGAAATTTTTAAATCTTTGGACACTCCAAATCAAATTAAAATGTATTCTTCTCCCCAAGAAATAAAAGAATGCGGAACGCTGACCAACTCTGAGATTCGAGATAGACTTGAGTAAGTACGATAAGCTGTAACTTTCTCTATATGTCGTTCTCCCTGCTACTGGAATTTGTATTAAGGATCCTAACAATTAATTAATGAACTTAATAACAGGGGGAACGACATTCATATTTTGATAAAAAGTTACTTATTTTATGTTGAATAATTCTAGGAAACTGGAAATCACTCAAATTCGCACGTTCAATTTACTTGAAAAGACGTACGCGCTCTTGCAAGGAAAGTCGCATGGCGACAGAATCAAAATTACAAAGGCTGAGGAGAAAACCACGCGAAAAATTGCCAGGATTCCCTAAAGGCGTATTCATGCTCACTTAAAATAAGAAATAAGAATAAGAAATAAGAAATAAGGAATAAGAAATAAGAAATAAGACCGCGATTGATCGTTCATGCTGATAACCTAAGAAATAAAAAATGTTGTCACACAATTATATTTTATTATAGTGGATTATATTGGCTATAAACGTAAACAATCGACAGCGACACTCTACGCGATTTCCAACACCATGGCTCCATGCATATAACAAATAAAACCCATCAAAATAATTCACAGACCCATTTTGGTTCTTTGCGCAGTTTTATACGCAAAAATAAGAACCAAAGTTAAAAATTGTTATCTTTATTCTTATTTCTTATTTCTTATTCCTTATTTTCATGAGCATGAACGCAACCATTACTTTACACAGTTTTAACTTTTTATCTTATTTCTTATTCTTATTTCTTATTTCTTATTTTAGTGAGCATGAATGCGCCTTAAGAAATCAGTAGAAGGTCTTGAAGCCCTGGAAAATGAGGATATGGATATGACCAGATTGCAATTGGTAATATTTCTTATGTTTCTTGTTAATTTTCATTCAACCAAAAAAATATCTAGACTTTAATAATTTTAATATTTTCAGCAAGAACATTGGAAAGCAATTGGGGCAACGAAACTTAGAGACTTCATTAAAATTGCTCTAAATGATTCAATGGAACCATCATTAATTAAAAAGATAACTTGGACTGGGGCAGGAAATTCATACAAATTTGAAGACACCAAAATGGCCACAGCAATGTTTGGTAAATTTTTGCACTTTAAATTTTTTGCTCACTAAATCAATAAAACTTTTTTTTCTTAATATATAGATGCTGCAAGAGAATGTAGTACTTTTGAAGGGCCGGAAAACCTAAGGATTTTTAGTTTTGAATTTGGTCAAGCGATGAGAGTTCTAAAACAAGGTTTTAAAATAAAAGAAAATTTGCAAGAACGAAAATGCTGATCATACTAAAAAGCTACAAAAAAGGCCAAAGCATTGGTGAGCTCCAATATGTTAAAAATAATGGAAATGATAAAGTTCCCAATACATTTCTGGAGGAGACGGATGAATATGTAATCGAATACATCTCCGATTATGATAATGACGAAAACGACAATATTGAATACGTCGACCATAAAGGATATAGAGCTTCCGATGAAGAGATATAATATTATATATTATTATACATATATGTATATATATATAAACAAATGAAAAAAACATTAATTGATGATTTCTGAACCAATTTTCAAAATGTTCCCAGGTTAAAGTTAAAATTTTATTTTAAAAAATATGTAATATTATGTACATAAATAGGTACCTTTTAGCAATTAGAACATATCGTCGTTTATCTGACAAAGAGGCGTATCTCATTTTTAAACAAAACGGTGTGAATTGAATTACGCCAGTTTGTACGGCACACAAAATGCAAAAATATTAGTTACGCCGAAACTGTTATATGCTAAAACTTTATTTGTACCTATTTATTATAGAGCTACGCCAGTTTGTGAGATTATAAAGTCGATTTTGGTGATCATTCTGGTATAACTCAAAAACGAATTTTTTTGAGTTACGCCTCTTTGTCAGATAAACGACGATATGTTTATTAACATATAACATCAGTGTGTTCTAAACACTTTCTTTTTAAGATACATGCCTGTACCTTAAAAAGAAATTGTCTAAAACATGCTTAAGGGTACTTTTTACCTAAAATATTTTATATTTAAAAAATTACCTGTTCAAAGCCTTTTGTTTAAAAAACACTGTTTTATTAAAATACATATGTCAAATATTTATATAATTATTTAACATATACATATACAGGGTGTCCCAAAAGTCAACAATATCCTTTGGAGGACTGATAGACCAACTCATGACTAAGCAGAAAATCAAAACATGACCTTAGTAAAAAATAGTTAGTTTTGAGATATAGTAATTTTTATGAATTTTGTAAAACTTGACACAGCTACAAAATCTACTATTAGTTTAATTTTGAATTGTAATTAATAGCAGCCCTATTCAGGGTTACACAACATAAAATATATATTTTATGTTGTGTAATTATATATAATCTAAGAATATAGAATTTTGTAGCTGTGGCACTCAAAAAACTGATCTTAGGTGTCAAGTTCCACAAAATTCTTAAAAACTAATGATTTTTTACTAAGGTCATGTTTTGATATTCTGATTAGTCATGAGCTGACCTATTAGTCCTTCATAGGGTATCATTGACTTTTGGGACACTCTGTATGTACATATTTTTTTAAATAAAATTTTAACTTAAACCTGGGTTGGAACATTTTGAAAATTGGTTTAGAAATCACCCATTAATGTTTTTTGCATTTGTTTTTATAAACTTTGCATGTATAGTATTTTATCTCTTCATCGGAAGCCTTGTATTCCTGATCTGCGCTATAACAAAGAAATATCTTTGTATAGAGATAAAAATTAAATATTTTTTTACTTGGTTACTTAAGTAAGATCCTAATAATTATTAGGTTCTTAATTAAATTAGGCAAGTAAAAAATACTTAATTTTTATCTGTTTAGGAAGATACACCGTCATTATAGCTTTATTTGTTATTAATTAATTAATATATATTAAACATTTGGTTTGTAACATAATTTGTATTTAAAATAAAATGAAAAATAATAATACAACCTTGATTTTTTGACATCTATAAATTAAAAATCCCGCCATATTTAAAAATCGTATGCGCATGCGCAAGTTTCTTTTAACGAAATTCATTTATATGCATCCATTCTGCACTCACTATGAATACACAATAGGATGCTAAAATGAGCTCATAATTTTACTTGAGTGAATGCATATATGCATCCATAATGATTTCACTAATGTTATCTGGGATGTTTTAATTTTAGATGACTTGGGCACATAAAATCCAATTTACAACTTCCTTGACTCTTCAGGAGGCGTTGTCTCTGCTGTTGGTATTGTTTTCCTGTTAAAAAAAAAATATTTTATAAGAACTTTCATAATTTTTTTTTTACAAGTTCATAATTTTTTTTTTATATATGTATATACCAAAACATTCAATGTCTAACATTCTATAGAAACATATTATTTGTTGTAAACAGGCAGAAGGACCTAGGTCGATAGCCCTTTGGTTAACCCAATAAAGACTTTTTTTATATATATATGCCAGACTGACAAAGTCATTACTTTGTAAGAAAAATATGCATGAAGAAAGTATACTTCGTCAGGCATATTTGCCCACAAGCACATAATATATTTTGTAAACTAATAATAGAATTTTACATTTGCCTATAAACTACAAAGCTACCTGTTTTTGATCTATTACAGTTATAGTAAATAACTTTTCCATCAGTACTCTTCCATGTTCTAGCTACAGTGTAATTGCACTTATTTTTCATCTCATAGTTAGTTTTCCAACTCTCAAATTCTAAATAAATAAAAAGTTAAGTAAACAACAAAAAATAAAGTAGTAAAAAAAAGAACTCACCATTTATATTTTCAAATACAATTTCTTCTGCATTTTCAAATAAAATATTATGAACTTGCTGAAGATGTTGTATCAACATTTCATTATTCCGATATGAATTATTGCAATTTGACTCTAAACATTTATAATTCCAAACCGATTTATCATATAAAACCGGATTTCTTTCCAGGCCGTGCAATTCACGACGATGTCTATTTAAATTAGACCTTTTAGAAAATATCTTATCGCAAACAACGCACATAACACTCATATTGCCTTTTTTATCAAAACACAGATCATAACAAAGGTGCAAAAAACCTATAGATTTGTAAGGTTAAGTTTGTAAAATGGCCAGGGTTGGGTATCTACCTACATTTTTGTTTTCGACATGTAGAAAACCTTTTTCGACGTTTTCGACGGTAGAAAACGTAAAAAAGTAGAATACTGTCAAATATCAAAAAATGTGAGGTTATGCAAGTTTGTTGTTTATTATGATTTGTTAAATGTTGTGAAAAATCAGACCATAAATTTGAAGTTATTTGGAGTTTTTTAACATTATTATGGTGGGAAAAAAAGGGCCACGTTTGGTTGGGAGACCCCAACATAATTTTTGGCATGAGGGCAAATTTTTATCAATTATAGAGAAGTGGAAGGAGAAGGTCGAATAAGGTAATTTACGTAGGTAGAAAACCCTATAGGTTTTCGACGCAAGTCGAAAACAAGTTTTCTACCCTTTTCTACCAAGGTAAATTACCTAAGGTTTTCTACTGACCCAACCCTGAAAATGGCGGTAATTTCTGACAGATTGTGAGACTGCGCTGTAAGTGGCAACACTGATCTATGGTACGGTACCAACTTGACAAAACTTCACTGACAAAAGTCAAAATCTTGACATTTCCGTGTTTACCCTTTTAAAATGACCGAAATACAGCCGCTCACGAGCGAAACCGCCATCGAAATACTCAACAAAACCATAAAAGAACTGAACACGCCGGAAAACGCGAAAAAGCTGGAAGAAGCGCGAACGGACGTGGGCAACGAAATGCTTAAAATGCTTCAGTACGTTTTTCCTTTAGTTCTCGCGGTGCAAGTTGATATCATCAGGAATTACGGCTACCCCGAAGGCAGAGAGGGGGTTATTAAGTTTGCGCAAAGTATAAGGGTTCTGGAAAGAGAAGATGTGGAAGTGGCAAGGCTGCATAGTTTGGTTAAGGCCTATTATTTGCCTCCAGTTTCTGTAGCTGCCACTAATGAAGAAGAAAGAACCAGCAGTAACTAAGACAAATTATATTTTTTGTCAGGTTTCGCATTTACATAGAAGTCAAGAAGGCTTTGTTCTCTATGGAAAAGCAATTAACCAATTAGATTACAGCATTCTAGTGTGCTGTGGAAAATGCAGTACTTTGATTGGTTTATTTCTTTCCATAGATATTATTTTCTATAGAAAGAAAATTTGCAAATATTTATATTTATTAAAACATAAATATTATATCATATATTATACCATATATATAAAATTAAATGTTTAATTTTTTAACACAGACTGATAAATGTAGTTAAATATTCTTAGTTCTTATTTAATAAATATTTTTAAATTAGATTTATTAAGGTTAATAAAATAAAATACAATTTTTTAATTATTTTTATTATGCCTTAAACTTAATACATTATAAAAAATGCAAAAATATACCTATATTAAATTCTATAACATTACCTGAGCTGTTAATGTTTGGAATATCATAAAAAATGGTTATTCATCCTTAAAAATTCCAATTCAATAAATTGTACAACATGTAATACTAGGTAATAATATATATAACACACAAAATGACTGACCTACGCCAATTACGTTATTTACAATTAAGTTTTGTACTTTCAACCTGTTTTAAGTATATATTTATTTGGAGTGTATCACATTATTTCTAAGTAAGGCTTATGAAAAATTGAGATTTTATCATGTTTTTTGATTTTAATGTCACTTAAGTTCTAATTACAGCAAGTTTTGAGAGGAATCTAGGAACTTTTCTATATTAAATGAAATAAAAAATCCACTACTGAAATTCATTTTAAGACAGTTATATCTAGCTTAAAATGCAAGATACAATTGTCAACTTAAATGTCAATTGATTAATTATTTCAGATTGCTCCCAAAACACCCTGTATGTGTATCAGTACTACAATTACTGTCGAGCACTTCTCTCCGTTTCAATTAGACACTCCCTTACCAAAATCCTGGCGTGCACAATACCCCTTTTAAGTCTTTCGGCAGAACTTCTGCTGCCTGCATAGGTAGGGTGTACTTCTCGCCCCATTTCCTCTATAACGCCCAATAACTGTGCATACTTTGACTGGCTGTGCGGGTCAACCTTTGAAGCACTTTGTTGATTGTTTTGTTCGATTTTTATGGCCGTCTTGGACGTCATTGGAATGGCTGTTACAGTAACATCGCTCAGTTTTGATTCTACTGCCTGTATGTCAACAGCCTCCATTTTAGAGAAAACACTAAAATAACAAGTTAGGAAGTCGAATACATTTTTGTATTGAAGAATTATAACGTGAATTACCTTATTTTGAAAGGACCTGGGGCAATATTTCAAGATAAACAAAAAGTTTTGTTTGTTATGTTGGTGGTAGATTTCGTTGACATTTTAAGTTGCATCGAATTGGATAAAAAGATTTTAGGTTGGCAGCAGTTGGATCAAATTTGACGCACAGTAATCGAAATACAGGGTGCTAAGGAAAATGCTTTTTAATTTTAGACATTGAATGTATTGTTATAAAAAAATAAAGCCTGTGTACTAAAATAGTATATTATGTATCAAGTTTGATAAACGCCATTATATACACGAATTTAATTTAGGCACGAGCGAGCTTGCGGGCGAGTGCTTAAATTAATGAGTGTATAGAAAAGTTTATAAATGAGGTGCATACTATACTTTTTCTACGACAAATACTTATTATTATCTTAAAATGATTTAAATCAAAAATTTGTATAGAGCGCCATCTATGAAACAATAGGAGAATCTGTGTGTCACCGTCAAATCATTGAGTAAAGTAATGGTCAAATGTTAAATTTTTATACTATAAAGGTTATAAATCGAAATGTATTTCTTGAAAATTGACAGTTTTTCACAGTGAAAGTAAAGAAAATGTTTTATGAGGACTTTACAGTGGAGTCCGTGCCCGAATTTAAGTTATAGTTTACTGCCGGCGAAATTAGGTCAGTACAATGTTTATATAAACTTTTCAAGTATTGGCGTTGAGAAACTATTTAATACTTTTGTATTTTTGTATTGAGCTAATAAAATAATTTGCACATTTAGTATTATTTTACAAGAAAGGCACTTTATTTTAACGATTTTATGACATTTGACAGTCAACTAACTTAAAACTAACTTCAGCCCGTGACTAAAGCGCCATAAAGCCACAACTTGTCAATGTGTTTTTAAAAGGTCACTTAGTGTCATGGAAACAAGTACGATAAAGGGCGTTTTAAAGGTGGGAGTACAAAAAATTATTTATATAGTTAAAGCCCGATTTATAGATTGCCTTCCTTCCTTCCTTCCTCCCGTAGAATATTCCCGTACGGTAATCTATCAATGGCACTACGATTTTCGTATTGTTCATCTTTTACGGGAGGAAGGAAGGAAGGAAGGAAGGAAGGAAGGAAGGCAATCTATAAATCAGGCTTTATATTTTAACTATAATTTTACCATCTAATAAAATAAAAATAAAATATTTAATTGGCACAAAAAAATGATAAACTTCATACTTTGCTACCAAAATTTTCTCAACTTTAGTCGGCAATACTTGGATGAATGGAGCTTTAAAAATAATTGTAGGTAGGCAACCCAGTCAACAAAAGTTTTTAAAGCGCCATCTATGTAAAAATGTCCGAACTAAATTATTGCCACTGAAAATTTTACAACTTTAGTTCAGCCCTACTTGGATAGATGGCGCAGCTTTAGAAATTTCAGTAAGTAGGCAATTGTTAAACAAAATTGTTAATAGGAAAGTCAAACTAAATTTATACCTACCTGCTAATAAAATTTTGTTTGTAAAAAATTTCAAATCGGAAAATTTTTGATTGCGTTTTTTCGAGATAGGCAACAAAATTATTTTAAAACGTTTTTCTTGTAATTTTAAGGGTTAAAAAATAAATAAAAAATTCTTTAGACTTTGATAAATTTATTTCTTTTAAGAATGTAAGTGAAAATAACTATCAAGATACAATTAAATCCAATATACCCTTTCTTGTAAAATGTTTGCTATCTTCTTATATAATACAAAACCTTAATCTAAAAAAAATAGTTAATACTATTTATTTACAGTTAAATCTGAAATAGTTTAATAAAAAAATTAATAGTTGCAAATAATAACATACTACATAATAATTAAATAAAATTTATATATACAATTAGGAGTAAATTAATTACATAAATATATTATTTGATTCTTAAAAACTAGCTAAAAATTTATAAATATTTTACACAACAAAATTGAAAATGGGCTTCAAATCATTACAATATAATAATATAAATTATGAAGCATTAAAAATAAAATACTGGTGTTTTACTATAAATATTTGTATATTGCAATTAAATCATACAGTATGTCGGCGGCATATAAAAGCAGTTAACGTAAATAATATTTGGCAAAAAAGAAATAAACTGTTAAACAGAAAAAATTATGACACATTTAAAAAGTAAATGAATAAGAAAATTCCCGAACTAAGCCAAGAAAGCTAATATTGTGTAAATGCTAGAATTTTCCCATTTTATATTTCTATTGAACGTCTCTTTTAAACCCTACAAACCTTATTACATCATTATTCAATAAAAAAATTTCACTGTTTCAGTCTATTACGAGTGACGGATTTCATTATACAATAGTAAAGCTTTAAAGCATTAAAATATTTATCATATAACTCTATTAATATTATTATTATTTTAATCAAAGTTTAATGTTTTTTTCAATTCAATAAAAAATATAGATATGTTAAAATGTATACAACAATAAATTAATACCTCCTTTCACAATTCTAGATAAATAAAACATGAGCAAAACGTCCATACTTTGTATATAGCGAAGCCATAGAAAAAGTTTACCCCGAATTTTATGTAAATGTTTCATAATTCTTATGAAAAGTGTTGCACCATGTTCGCGTTAACTCTGCACAAATAAAAGCACTTTATGCATTCGTTGCGCAAAAAAATTGCCGATATACTCACATAATCGATAAAACTTTTTTTCGTTAAGACAGGAAGGGGTTCGCCTGCTCCGTCTTCATCCACGGGGATGACATCTGGCTGTTGACGTTCTGCGAAACTGGCGCCCACGGGTCCTGCGCAGAACCGAAACCGTTACCGTTTGCGTTGTTCGACGAATTCGAAAACTGAAAGCAGCACGTTACATTTAATAACTTATAACTTTTTTTTCGTAATAAACGCATGCGTCAAAAAGTAATAGATTAAAGCCTGAATTATAGATTGTCTTCCTTCCTTCCTCCCGTAGAAGATGAACAATACGAAACCCAATAAACATTTTTGATGTAATTGTCACCATTAACATTTCCCGTGTAAGAATTTTTAATACTTTGTGATAATATTTTGCAATTATAGTAATAAAAAAATCAAAGGATAAAATATTTTCTTAACAAAATCATATTTTGAAGTTGTTTTAATATTTTAAAGTATCAATAATTGTTAAGTTTAATTAAAATTACTAACGGGCAATGTAATGGTGACAATTACGTCAAAAATGTTTATTTAAATCGTAGTGCCATTTATACATTCCCGTACCGTAAGGACGACATTCCTTCCTCCCGTAGAAATTTTTAAGTTTTATCTTTCACCGCAAAGATCTTTGACATGACCAATCACAGTGCTTGTTATGGACATGCGCTGTAGGGTGACAGCGCGTAGGCACAAAATATTTAAAATACATGATTGTTTAGTATTATTTAAGATAGGTGTTCAGTTTATTAAATAATTTGTGTCTCTAAATAGGATATTTAGATATTGTTTATGATCAATGTCTTCCATTTTTAGAAACGTTGCTTTGTAAAACCCCGTAGTTTCCCGGTCTTGGTAAAGTGTCTTTCATCGTCTTGTTCGATGTTTTTTTTTATTATACTGCCCTACTATGGAGAAAGGCAGTAACTACAAATGCGTTTTCTTGTGCTATGATAAAGCTATGGACATTTTGTATCTTAATTCAACAAAGAAATGCAGTAAACTTTCTTATAAGTTAAATAAATCAGTTAAATACCTACTGCTTTTTATAAAAATGGAGTTTATGCTAATTTCCCACAAATTTCTTGTTTAGCAGTTACTGCCTTTCTCCATAGTTGGGCAGTATACAACAATCTGCCTGGGCAATTAAAATTGTGATCACTGCACTAATATATAAATGATTATCTTTCATATTTACACACAATGGGTAAAACGCAGAATATAACCAAAAACAAATGTCAACCATTTTAGGTGTCATCGCGCATGGTTACGGAATTTTACACGGAAATCTATAAATTGACTTTTTACAAGACGCACAAATCGTACGGGCACGACTACGGGAGGAAGGAAGGAAGGCAATCTATAATTCAGGCTTTAGTGTCTTGCTCAAATTTACTACTTTGCAGGAAAAATCTACCAACTTTTTAAGGTTTTTAATTTTTTAAATTAAACATTTACCGAATTTCATAGAACATATAGCGCGTTACTGTAACGCCCTCTCTTATCTATTACATTTATCAACAAAAGTGCTGAATAACATTATACTATTCAATCAAAATATGTATTCTTTTAAAGAATGGAATAATAAAAAAGCTATACTTTTTTCCATATATTTTTACCCATTTTCCCTTTTGCTTATAAATAGGCATATTAAACCTTATTAAAAAAGGATATAGTTTACCATTTCGTAATTTAATAATTTTAGGATATTAATATTTAATTAATTAGTTTGAGTATACATATTTATAATTTGATAATTATCATAATTCATACTTTAATTTTTGACCTTTTTCTATTATTATTTTGAATATTGGCAATCTGTAATACTGATTTATCATTGTTTTTTTATGAAAACACTTAAAATATTTTTTATCCATCAAAAAATAAATTCAGAGTGCCAGATTTCTTACTTTAGAGTCTCTAGAAAACTCGAAAAATATAGGTGGTAGAAGTACTAACTTACCGGCTGCGACGTTGCCAGGCCGTAGGGCGGGGCCGCGCCGCCGAACGCGGCGTTCTGATTGGCGAAGGGCGCGAGCGACTGCTGCTTCATCTCGTTGATGCTCGGTTTGGGAGGGGGGGTGTTGAAAACTGCCCGTTGCGGCGCCGAAGGGTCGGAGAAGGGGTTCGCGGTCGAGGGGGCGTTCGAAGGTTTACCTGAGAGAAAAAATTAGCATACCTACTCCATTTTTATGTGGGTACTCACTTGTAACCAGGTTGTCCAAGTTCACGAGGGCGCTGTTCTCGCCCAGGAAACTTTGCGGGGTTTTTTTGGTGGCCCCCGTGGAGGGACTGGGTCCCAAGACAGTTAAGTTGTCCAGCAGGTTGAGCTCGAACGGATCGCCGGCGCCGTTTGAGTTGGAGCCGTTCGTTTTGGGTGATGAAGTTCTTTAAAAAAAAAAAATTTAACCAAAATCACGTTATGAGATATGAATCAATTAAACACGTTTTTTTCAAGTCGGGAAAGTTAAATTTCTTTAAAAAAAAATATATAGGTGTAGAGGGCGCTGTCTGCGACACTGCATACTTTTAAATGGTCACAACTTTTTGGGGCCTTCCTTACTTATTCACGTTTTAATAAAAATATTACTTTCTTCATCTTTATTACGCAAAAAAGGTAAACCTTGTAAAATATGCGATTAAATTTTGTTTGTTTGGTGTATTTTATTTTGATTAATTTGAATTTAAAGTTAAATGGTTCTATTAAAAATCTACAAATTTTCAAATTTTTAATATTTTTAAACCAAATTTTTAAAATTTATAAATTCTTACAAATTTTAGAAATACAAAATTACAAAATTTTTTAAAGTTCTAAAATATGCTTTGACATTCTTAAATACGTTTTTAAAATTTTAAAATTTGTTTTTGACATTCTTAAATGTGCTTCTGACATTCTTAATAATTCTTTAAATTCTGCAGTAAATTAACAAAATTTTCAAAATTATTAAAATTTTACATTTTCTAAATTTTTTAAAATGTTCCAAATTTTTAACATTTTAAAAAAGTTCTTAAAATTTCTCAAAGATTTTTTTTATTTTTCTTTTTCCCATCTATTTCAATGGAACAGAAAAAAACGAAAAGGTTTAACCCTCTTAAAACAAACTATTTACATACAGTGTATTTTTTGAATGTGTGTGATTGCGTCATCAATTGGGTCGTATGAATTAAACCGAAACTAAATTTAGAGTCAGTAGCGTATCATTTTGAAGGGGTTTAAGCATTTATTGTGGGTGTATTTTTGATTGCCTAATGTCGCCTCATAGTTACGCAACTCAGTTTACACCCAATTAAACAATAATTCTAATGATTAGTTCGCATTTATTTTAACTTTATTAATGTAAATTATATTATATATATTATTATTATTAGTTTTATAACAAATAACAAAAAACATACACAAGTTTTGTACATAATATTATGTACATACATATAATATATTATAAGTTAATTAAGACAAAACATTAATAAAATAAAATACGCGCTCTGTCCTTTTTCAGCACAAGCCGCGTGAGCGCGACATCGGATTCACGTTTGTCGTAAATTACGTTTAATTGTGTCGCCATCTGCTGGTTTAGCGGATCCCGATACGTTTTAGAATTTCAGATGAACTTTTACAAAGAAAAAAAAAGACAGCTACACATTTTAATGTCTTTGTTTGGTTCAGCAATTGATGACGCAATCACACACATTCACTCACATTCAAAAGATACACTGTATTCGACTTATCCCCTCTCACCTGTTTCTGTTCGTGATGACGTCGAACTCGTCCATGTCCGTGGAGGAGGCGGGGCTGGTCGGCGACCAGGGATCGTGTCGGCCGGGAGCCGACGACGCGCCGTTCGGCCGGTTGGGCGTCGGGCTGGCGCCGCCCCAAGGATCGACGCGCGCCGGCGCCGACATGGCGGCGGCGCCCGCCGCGGGCAGCCACGGGTCGGCGGGGCCGCCGCCCGGAGACGGCAGCGCGTTCGCCCGCCACGGCGAAGATTGCTGGATGGAAAAGTTCGACAATGTTAGAATGTTTAAAATGTGCTTCTTCGTTTACGCCTTGTCTGTTCTAGCAAGACATTTACATTCTAAAATTTGATATTTACATTTTAAGATGTGTTTCAACATTTGAGTTTCTAAAATATGATTTTACCTTTTCATAATATGTTTTAACATTCTGAGATCCTCAATGTGTTTTTCAATTTTAAAATGTTTATTTGAATTTTTAAATAATTTTACATTCCAAAATAATTGATTTTTAAAGTAGGTAATATTAAATTTGACATTCTGAAATGTTTCACACATTCTCAAAATTTGCTCTAAAATTCTAAATTGTTTTAAATTTATTACATGTTTTTGACTTCTTAAGTACTTTTAACAAATGTGTTTTTATCATTGTAAAATGTACTTTTAACGTTCTAAAATATACTTCAAAATTCTTAAATATGTTTTTAACATTCTAAAATTTGTTATTGACAGGCTAAAATTCGTTTTTGGAATTATAAAATTTGCTTCTGACATTCTTTATAATTTTTTAAATTCTTCAATAATTTTAACATTATATCCTCAATGTGTTTTAAAACATGATTCTAAAAGGGATTTTAAATTTTAAAATGTTTATTTGATTTTTAAATAATTTTACATTCCAAAATAATTGAGTTTTAAAGTAATATTAAATTTGACATTCTTAAATGTTTCACAGATTCTCAAAATTTGCTCTAAAATTCTAAATAGTTTTAAATTTATTACATGTTTTTGACTTCTTAAGTACTTTTAACAAATGTGTTTTTAACATTGTAAAATGTACTTTTAACGTTCTAAAATATGCTTCATAATTCTTAAATGTTTTTAACATTCTAAAATTTATTATTGACATTCTAAAATGTGCTTCTGACATTCTAAAAAATGGTTTACATTATTTTGGTTTTGACAGGCTAGAATTTGTTTTTGTTGTTCAAAAATATGGTTTTAACATTCTAAAATGTGCTACTGACATTCTAACTAGATTTAAATGTAACATTTGTTTTTACTTCTTTTAAAATTCTAAAATGTTTTTTAAACTTGTAAAATCCATTTTTTGACTTTTGACGTTCTAAAATATGCTTTGATTATGTTTTTAACGTTCTAAAATTTGGTTTTGACATTTTTAAATTTAGCAAGGAAGTTTACAATATTTAAAAATTAAACATTCTTAAATTCTAAAATGTGCTTCTGACATTCTTAATAATTCTTTAAATTCCTCAATATTTTTTACATTATTTTGATTTTGACAAACTAGAATCTCTTTTTGTTGTTCTAAAATGTTTTATAAACTTGTAAAACGTATTTTTGACTGTTAACTTTTAAAATATGCTTTGACATTCTTAAATTTGCTTTTAAAATTCTAAAATTTGTTATTGACATTCTAAAATGTGCTTCCTACATTCTTAATAATTCTTTAAATTCTTCAATAATTTTTACATTATTTTGATTTTGACAGGCTAGAATCTGTTTTCGACATTCTAAAATGTTTTTAAAACTTGTACCTATTTTTGACTTTTGACGCTCTAAAATATGCTTTGACATTCTTTATTATTCTTTAAATTCCTTAGGATTTTTTTCATTATTTGGGTTTTAACAGGCTAAAATTCGTTTTTGGAATTATAAAATGTGCTTCTGACATTCTTAATAATTCTTTAAATTCTTCAATAATTTTAACATTATTTTGGTTTTGACAGGCTAGAAATTATTTTTGTTCTTCTAAAATATGTTTTTAACATTCTAAAATGTGCTACTGACATAAAATAGATTTAAATTTAATTTTTTTTTGACCAAGTAGGTACTTAATTTCTTTTAACATCCTAAAATGTTTTTTAAACTTGGAAAATGTACAGGGTGGTCCACGTAAGGTGACCCATATACTTATCTCAGAAACTACTGGAGTCACAAAAAATTTGTAAGGAACAAATATTCACGAAGTAAAAAATATTTTTAAAATATTATATTTTCATTTATACAGGGTGTTCGGTTTTCCTTGGGACGATACCAACTTTCTTATTTTCAATAGAACACCCTGTATTTTTTTGCATTTTTGGATTCTTCCCACTCTTTTAGGTATACTTTGTAAATATATTAAATAAGAAAATGTTAATACTTTTTGAGTAAAATTAAGATTTATTAAAATTTCTCTAAATGTAGACACTCGCTAAAAGTTAAAAATAACCAACTAAAAGTTATTATTTTTTATATTATGTAGTATCCATCTCTTTAATAATAAGTAAGCTATAAGTTAATTATTATATTTTTTGGAAAATATCATACAGGGTGTTTTCTATGTCCCGTTGAAAATAGCGATTTTAAAAGTTTAAAATCTTGTTTTTATTCAATGGAACACCCTATATATTTTTGCATAATTGGATAGAATAAGTAATTACCTTTCATTTTATATATACATGTCCTATACCTAAACCTAACAGAAAAAAAAATATTCGCATTTTTCACAATTAGTAGCTTTTTTCCAATTACCTTAGTTAAATTTTCATTATTCAAAGAAAACACCCTGTATAATATTTTTCAAAAAATAAATTAATTAACTTATAGCTTACTTATTATTAAAGAGATGAATGCTACATAATATAAAAAATAATAACTTTTAGTTGGTTATTTTTAACTTTTAGCGAATGTCTACATTTAGAGAAATTTTAATAAATCCTCATTTTACTCAAAAAGTATTAACATTTTCTTAATTAATATATACAAAGTATACCTAAAAGAGTGTGTAGAATCCAAAAATGCAAAAAAATATAGGGTGTTCCATTGAAAATAAGAAAGTTGGTATCGTCCCAAGGTAAACCGAACACCCTGTATAAATGAAAATATAATATTTTAAAAATATTTTTTACTTCGTGAATATTTGTTCCTTACAATTTTTTTGTGACTCCAGTAGTTTCTGAGATAAGTATATGGGTCACCTTACGTGGATCACCAAAAAAAAATATTCGCATTTTACAAAATTAGTAGCTTTGCGCGTATAGTAATTATTATAGTAATATATATTTATATATACCTAAAAGCATTTTTATTTATTGTTATTGAAATTTATTTATTTGAATAATGAAAATTTAACTAAGGTAATTGGAAAAAAGCTACTAATTGTGAAAAATGTGAATATTTTTTTTTCTGTTAGGTTTAGGTATAGGACATATATATATAAAATGAAAGGTAATTACTTATTCTATCCAATTATGCAAAAATATATAGGGTGTTCCATTGAAGAAAAGCAAGATTTTAAACTTTTAAAATCGCTATTTTCAACGGGACATAGAAAACACCCTGTATGATATTTTCCAAAAAATATAATAATTAACTTATAGCTTACTTATTATTAAAGAGATGGATACTACATAATATAAAAAATAATAACTTTTAGTTGATTATTTTTAACTTTTAGCGAGTGTCTACATTTAGAGAAATTTTAATAAATCCTAATTTTACTCAAAAAGTATTAACATTTTCTTAATTAATATATTTACAAAGTATACCTAAAAGAGTGGGTAGAATCCAAAAATTCAAAAAAATACAGGGTGTTCCATTGAAAATAAGAAAGTTGGTATCGTCCCAAGGAAAACCGAACACCCTGTATAAATGAAAATATAATATTTTAAAAATATTTTTTACTTCGTGAATATTTGTTTCTTACAAATTTTTTGTGACTCTAGTAGTTTCTGATATAAGTATATGGGTCACCTTACGTGGACCACCCTGTACCTATTTTTGACTTTTGACGCTCTAAAATATGCTATGACATTCAAATATTTTTTTAACATTCTAAAATTTGTTTTTGACATTCTAAAGTGTGCTTCTGAAATTTTTAACAATTCAATAAATTCTTCAGTAATGTTTACATTATTTTGGTTTTGACAGGCTAAAATTTATTTTTGTTGTTCTAATGTATGTTTTAACATTCTAAAATGTGCTAGTGACATTCTAAATAGTTTTAAATTTAATAAAAAAAATTGTTTGATTTCCCAACTACTTTTAAAATTATAAAATGCGTTTTTATTATTACATATTATTTTATTTTAAAAATTACTGTACTTATTTCACTAAGCTTATTTATAAAATAGCATAAAACGTTATTTAAGCAAAAATGTTCACAATAATTTCTTCACCATAATAAAACACACGGATATGGAGCTTGGAGTTGTACTAGTGCACAAAAAATAAACATTATTTTAATCAGTCTTATGGTGGAGAAATACTTAATTATTATGAAAATTATTAATAAGCTTATAGTGCATTTAATTTTATATATATAATATATTTCTTCTAGCAAAATACTTATTTTTTCTCACACACTTACATACCATAGGAGGATAGTAATTAAACAAACTCAAGTTGAGAGACTAAGAAAGTAACAAAAAATTTAAACAAAATTATTATTTTTTTTTAAAGTTGGTATTTAGTTACTTACTTGTGGTCTAGGTGGCTGGGGCATTCCCCAAGGATCGACAGGAGCCGCACTTTCCCCCAAATTCACGTCCAAAAGATCAACCATATGACTGCTTTGGGTTACAGTTTTGTCCCTTAAATAAAAACAAAAGTTGCTAGAAAAAAAGGGAGAAAAAATGGGTTAAAAAGTTGTTTCTTTTGTTTTTTTAAACTGGCCCTCGAAATCTATTTTTATACGTCTACGTCCTTTTTTCCGACAAATTGACTGTAGTGGTAATTAAATTTGTTATTTTTATTTAAATAACTATTATAAAACTAATACTAATAACTTTTGTCTCAACTCACTTGAAGTCCTGCTGACTTTGACTCAGGGCGAGCTGCAACCGGACGTCGTCCGACTTCCGCTTTTGCTCTTCCTGTTCCGCTTCCTCTCTGGACATGGCCAGTGCCAACTGCAACTGCAGTTCCTCCTCACCCGCCGTCTGCGGCCGCGCGATCTCTATCTCTCTTGGTAGGTCACCTAAAAAAAAAAAAATTGTCAGACGCACAATACACACAACAAGGTCTGTCTATCTCGTACTAAAAATACAAAAAATCACTGCAACACTGCACAGTTTAACGGCGGCCATTTTTGTCGTTTACAATTCTTGTGCTTTGGGTTTGTGCTCTGTTTATATAGATTAATAATCGTTTTAAACGTTGTGTTTCTCATAGTAAGCCTTAAAAGAGGCCTTAAAGTGCTAAGAACAACCATTTTACTCCTCCATTGTAAAAAATAAACTTTATTCTATCAGGGCTGTCATAAAACTGTCAAATGTCAATTTTAAGGTTAAATTATAACCGACAAATTAACCTTCAAATTGTCATTTGACAGCCCTGATAGAATAAGGTATATTTGTTATAAAAGAGGAGTAAAATGGTTGTCCATAGCACTTAAAGGCCTTATTTGAGGCTTACAAGTGCCTCTGTAAGAAACCCAACGTTTAAAACAATTATTAAACAGAGCACAAACCCAAAGCACACAAATTGTAAACAACAAAGATGGCCGCCGTTAAACTCTGTGCAGTGTTGCAGTGATTTTTAGTATTTTCAGCATGAGATAGAACAGACCTTGTTGTGTTGTCCGAACGTCAGTACTTACTTAACGATTTGCTTTGGTCGCGACTGCTCCACTCGCCCCTGAACGCCGGGTACTTGGGGCTGGTAGGGGTGTCCAAACCGCCGTCGCTCCCGAACCCGCTCGCGCTCTGCGCGAAACGCTCTTTCGCTTTCAGGGCGCGCGCGCGCTCGTTTTTCAGCCGCTCGTCGTCCTTGAGCAGGATCACCAGCTGCTTCGCTTTCTCGCGCACGTTCTGGCCCTGGTCTTTGCCTATGCAAAAAAAAATAATAAAAATCGAGGGTCGAATTGCGGCCAAATCCGCATACGACGTAAGCGTTAAGGTCTATTCATACGTGCCCAGGCATCTGCCTTCCTTCCTTCCTCCCGTAGAAGATGAACAATACGAAATTTCGTAAACATTTTTGACGTAATTGACACCATTAACATTTCCCGTGTAAGAATTTTTAACACTTTGTGTTAATATCTTGCAATTATAGTAATAAAAAAAATCAAAGGATAAAATATTTTCTCAACAAAATCATATTTTGAAGTTATTTTAATATTTTAAAGCATCAATAATTAAGTTTAATTAAAATTAACAACGGGCAACGTTAATGGTGACAATTACGACAAAAATGTTTATTTAAATCGTAGTGCCATTTATAGATTCCCGTACCGTAAGGACGGCATTCTTTCCTCCCGTAGAAATTTTTAAGTTTTATCTTTCACCGCAAAGGTCTTTCACATGACCAATCACAGTGCTTGTTATGGACATGTGCTGTAGGGTGACAGCGCGTAGGCACAAAATATTTAAAATACATGATTGTTTAGTATTATTTAAGATAGGTGTTCAGTTTATTAAATAATTTGTGTCTATAAATAGGATATTTAGATATTGCAGGGTTCCCAGCATTGTTTTGTACTTTTTTTTTATGATTTTATGACAAATTTTTCAAATTTTATGACATTTTTTATGACAAGAATTTATTATTTCTAAAGTTATTTAATAAAATAAATGTAATTTTTTAACGGTTTATTATATATTTTTATATTTATTATATACTTTTATATATTTTTATATATTTTTTCTCGCATCAAAATAAATATTTCTGCTATAATATTTTTAATATATGTTACTTTCTTAGAACAAAAAGGTTAGTTCTAAGGTTACTTTAGTATTTTATTATAATATGTATTATAATCTCAAAATAAATAAAACCACAAAGGTATACAAATCTGAAATATTGGAGGCTCAAACAATGATTAACATGGGTCTCAAAAAAAAATAGTATATATACCTATAGGTACTATTTTTTTTGCTTTTTAAGACCCATGTTAATCATTGTTTGAGCCTCCAATATTACAGATTTTTTAAGAGTAGTTATGTAGTTATTGTTAAGGTACTTCGATAATTTCTTATTTCCTTCAGAAATAATATTTCTTGTTATTTTTAACTCTGCTTCCTTACTTGCCAAAATAGTATCAATTTCTTCAAGTCCTTCTTTGTGCCTTCCTTAGTAAAGTAATATAGTATAAAAATAAATTTACCTTTCTCATTATTTATTTCAAATTTAAAACTCATTTCCTAACCTAACTTCTTTTTCCTTCATAGTATGAAGTTCATACGTCAACAACCAAGGCCATATTTAAACCATTTTATTGCGTTTTATTCTACAGGACCGGCTTTAAATTTTATTTTACAAAATTTCCATTTTATAATAAAGATCAAAGGTGAGAAAATTGTTAAAAAATAATGAAATTTTATGATTTCTATGACAAAATGTGAATTTTATGACATTTTAGGACAATTTAACCAATTTTATGATATTTAAAAATTTTATGACAAACGGGAACCCTGATATTGTTTATGAATTTACAAAAAACAATTTGATAGCTTTTGAAAGCTGTATATGACATGTCCAAGTAAGGGATGATTCAACAAAACCGTCACTGTCATCCTCCATAGGCTATGGATGGACCATATCAACCTTAGTTCTTCGTACAGAAAAATATTGGAAATTGCAATGTTTTTTAAAAAATCCATATTTTCCACAAAAATAAATATATCAAGGTGAACCAAAAAGAGAACTGTTAAGAATAGATGTGACTTGATAATTAAAACTTAATTTAGAACAATATACGGTTCTGCCACTCTACAGAGTGTCTTAAACTTATGGTAAAAAACATCAACTGATTTTTTTGACAGTACGCATATTTGGCTTCGACTATACCTTCTTCCAGATGCTGAAAGTCCTTCAAGGTCTGTATGGCGAAGATGTTCTCCTTGCACTGCTGGCCCACCTTCTCAGAGCCTGTCTTGATCAGGTACTCGAGCAGCACTAGCGCCTTGTAGACGTGCCGCCAGTTCCGGCCGTGGTCGTTGAGCCGCTTCCACACCATCTGCATGATCTCGCTGAAGGCTACAACGTTGTAGGTGAGGTCGGCCACCTCGGCCATGATCGTGCTGCTCGGGCCCCACGGGTCGTTCGACGTCGCCTCGCGCACCTTCTTCTGCGCGTCGCTGTAGTTGTGCGCGAAGTTCTTGAGGTTACGCCTGATGCCGGCCACATTCACCTGCATGTCGTGCGAACCGCGTCTCATCTAAGCAAAAAGTTATATTGCAATAAATCTATCTCAAAACTCATATAAAGTGTGTATTAAAACGAATAGATACACTTAAAATTTAAGTCTTAAATGAAACAAGTGCCAAACCCCGCCCACTGTGGTAGGGATTGAATTGGTTTGCTTGCCGTATCATTGTCGTATGATCTGTGCGTCAGTTTAAGAAGTGTACTGAGACTTTGCGTACGTCTTTGTAAGAATAAAAAAGTATTTTCTCAAATAAAATGGGTTTTATTAGTCCTGAAATGCTGTTTAACGTGCGCAGGAATTTTTATTATAGGCTGGGGTATTGTTTAACTGCTGCTGGTGGTATATTTGAACATTTAATTTAGAAAAAAAGTTATTTTCGTTATTTTAGAATTATTTTTGTTTGAGAATTTATAGGTTTTATTTTTATCGAATTCGTTTGTTTTGTTTTAATGCATTTCTGCAAATAAAAACTAAGTATTGTTTAAAAACCATTAAATTCCAGTTAATGGCGAAAAAGTATTTCTTAAAAACTAAACACATTTCCCTACGACAGCCTCGGAGCTACTGAACAAACACAGTAGATCAAACTGCATGCCCTTGTATCTGGCTGCATGCCGCGCTGTTGCCATATGCTATTATTGTTTCCTAAAAGGGTTGTTTTTCTTATTTTTTAATATTAAAAGTAAGAAAATTAACTAAATCAAATTATTTTTGACATATTATTAATTTTTTTGTTTCAAACAAATAAAATTGAACTATTTATTAAATAATTATAATCGTTCTCTTCTGATTTAAAACAACCTGGCAACTATGGTTCGTAATTACGAATGGCTTGGTTTAAACCACGCCCAATTAAAGTTTGTTTCTTTTTCTCTGATCAGAATATAATTTGTCATCCTTGTCTCCAGCCTTACTTAATTGATTCTATACAGTCTATATAACCTATTATTTTTTTTAACAAAGCTAGAGGAGTATGAGGTATGAGGCGCCGTTTGTATCATAATTATTTCATTAAATATATAAATATTTACTAAATATGTTTATTTTTTAGTAAATATATATATTTTTACTCAATATAAACTACTCAAAACGAATTAAGGACCACTTTTTAAAATACATGTATCTTTTTTAACTTTTAAGCGACCCTCGTATATTTGTATAGGCTTGTACTCATATTATGTATAATTTGTTTTATGTAAACAAACATTTTTTGTTTTCATAACTTTTTGTAGAAATGCGATTTGTTTAAAAAACAGTGCATTTTAACATTTATTGTAAGTCATTTTAGTCGTTGTTGTGCATTGTGATAAGTTCAATAATTAATTAAAATGAATGTTGATGCTCTAGGAAGGCCTTTTAATCAAAGGAGGCATTTAAATCAGGTTGAAGTAGTGACAGCGGTTAATTTATTTCAAGAAGGACATTCGGTTAGAAGTATTGCCCGAAGACTTTAAACAAGTCATTCGGTAATTTCTAGACTTCTTAACAGACATAGAGAATTTGGTTTTATCACTAGAAGACCTTATCCGGCAAGAGAACGAGTCACAAACCCACGTGAGGACCGTAATTTGGTAAGGTTAGCCACCCAAAACCGAGCCAGAACAGCAAGAAACATTGCTGATTTACATTTTGACGCCAGCGAAAGGCGAATATCCACTCAGACAGTTAGAAATAGACTTCATGAAGCCCATCTACGTTCCAGAGTCCGAGCTGTTAGGCCCCAGTTAACCCGTGCGCACCGAAGAGCTCGATTAACTTTTTCTCGAAATCATATCAATTGGGATATGGATCAGTGGGGACACGTGCTCTTTTCAGATGAGTCTAGATTTCGACTTAGCCACAACGATGCACGTGTACGAGCATGGAGGCGTAGAGGTGAGCGTTATTTAGATTCAACTGTAACAGAAACTGTTCACTTTGGAGGTGGCTCACTTATGGTCTGGGGAGGTATAACTTTAACGGGGCGTACAGGTTTGCATATCTGTAGGGATGGTGTGGTAAATGCTCATAGGTATTTGGAAGATATTGTAGAACCCTATATAGTCCCATTTGCCGCAGAAGAAGGTCCACAGTTTATTCTACAGCATGACAATGCGAGGCCCCACACTGCTCGTATTGTCACACAATATCTTGAGGAGAATAATATCGAGGTTTTAGAGTGGCCCGCAAACTCCCCGGATCTAAATCCTAATGAGCATCTCTGGGATGTTCTTCAGAGAAGGATAAGGGATCGTCCGGCACCAGAAAATTTGGAACAGCTTGGAGAAATGCTTCAAGAGGAATGGAACAATATTCCCAGAGAAGTAATCAGAAATTTAGTGGAATCGATGCCTAGACGATGTGAAGAAGTTCGGCTAGCCAGAGGAGGACACACACATTACTAATTTTGTTGAAAATATTCTTTATAGTTTATTTAAAAAAAAAACATTTGTGAAAAATTAAAGTTATATTTTCCAAGCGTTTATTTTTTATTTGATTTATAAAATATATACTCCATTTTAAACCCTAATGTTTTTCAGAACTAACAGCAGTTACAGAATGTAAAAAAAAGTTTTTGATTAAAAGTTATAAACAAGTTTAAAAGTGGTCCTTAATTCGTTTTGAGTAGTTTATATACAGGATGGAAATCTTAACTGGAATAAATTCTGTATTTTGAAAACCACTTACTTTTTAAAAAAATCCAAAAACAGGTCAATTTATAAATTTACCTGGGTAAATTGTGATAAATCTTAAAAATATAAGAAACCACCCTTTGAGGGTGCAACCAACCCTAACTTTTTTTTCAAATGCAAAGGTATATCAAGTGATACATCATTTGAAAGCTCTTTTTAATAGGAATTTATACAAATATGCAATTTTTAATTATTTTATTTTGGTACTTTAAAGAAATAAATACTTTTTTATATCCACCAAAAACGTTGTATATTCAACCGAAAGAATGTATTTTAGTTCTTTAAAATTAGTTGCAAGTAACGTGTTCTAAATTGACCGTAAAAATGTCTTATTTAATTGAGATTCTAATGATGATTGGATTTGGTGATAGACGTCGAAATCAGACAGAAGTTGCACGATTATTTAACGAAACGCATCCAGAATTGCCTCACATTTGCCAAGGGACTGTTAGTAAAGTAGAATAATAAAATATTCCTAGACAACGCCAGCCTATCGTTGAAGACAATACGAAGCTTAATGTAATATTAGCAATCCAAGAAAATCCTGTTACTTCAGCTCGACAAACTGCTCGCGAGAACGATTTGAGCCACACCACTGTAATGAAGTTACTACATGCTTCAAAAATGCATCCGTATAAGATGCAAGGAACTAATTGGGGATGATACCGATCGCAGAATTGAATTTTGCGAGCAAATGATGAACATAGAGAATACAAATTTTTAAGGCATGATTGTAAGAAAACGGTTCATCTGACGGGAAATTCCAATCAAACCTTTTTTGTAGAGCATTCAATTTTCTTCTAAAAATATTCCGAAGTCAAATTTGTTAAACTGAATGGTTTGGGAGTTCTGAGGCAAAAACTCGCTCAGGAAAAAAAAATTTAAAATTGCGATGATAGACCTCTTAATATTATGGACTCAAACTTTCACCATAATTTTTTTTTGTCACCCCAAACAATATTTTCGATATACTTTACAAAAAAAATAGTCGATTTTTTTGGCCCAGTCTAATAAATATATATTAAATAGAATAATTATGATACAAACGGCGCCTCATAGAGGAGCCCCTAAAGATGGTTTTTATTTAGTAACCTTAAAATTGACATTTAACAGTTTGATGACAGCCCTGGTGGAGTAGGGTTTATTTTTTACAAAGCACAGTGGGTTGCCTAACGTGATTTTTAGTATGCGCTAAACAAGATAGAACAGACCTTGTTGTGTGGATTGTGCCTTATTGCATCTGTAACCTTGGTTGTAACCATGATAAATCGTTTGATTTTATACAAGGGGCAGAAATAACTAACACATTTTGAACGGCTGTAAAAACAAACCATTGTCTTTGGAAAAATCTGGTTTTATTTTTAAAAAGTAGGTACATTGAAAATAGTTTTATTAAAGTGGGATTTAAAGACAATGGTGACTCATTACTTGAACGATAGTTTAAAATTTGAATGGGTCAATATTTTGCGTTATCAACCCAACTCGACTGATACAAATTGAAATATATGTTCTTACAGCAATTTTCGTTGGATTTTTGACGAATGAAAACATGCCTTTACCAATGCCGAATTCTCGGTCCGATTTTCGCCCGTCGGTGTTCTTTTCTTCGTCGATCCCGTGGCCCGAACGTTGGCCATCCACGACAAAATTATTTTCCGACTCGGTGCCGGCGGCGCATTGGCGAACTCGCGACGAAACGCTCTCTGCGTCGCTATCACGGATCGGTTGTTTTCGTAATACGCCTCGACGACGAAACCGCGATGCTCGCCTGTCCAAGCCATCGTAGCTACTGACCATGGCACCAAGGTACCAACTTGGTGCTATCAATCGAGAACGGCGATAATAGGTCAATTCTCATATAACTTGTTCCGATGCTGTATCCACTTATTTTTGTGAAAACTAATTCTCGCTCAAGGTTTTTTTTTAGTGTAATAAGCATGTAGCATTTCAAGGTAATGGGAACTTAAATTATGACAACCCTAATCTATTAATTTTTTCCTAAAATGCAGGCTTTATGTTGCAAATGTCACATAAGTTACCGGTCACCAACTGCAATATCCTAACATCGATGCATATTTCAACAAAATGGCCGTTCAAACAACTAATGTTAGTGCTTGATTAACTAAAAATAGACTTAATATTGACAAAAAATTAGGTATTTTATCCGAAATCGACAGTAAAGTAGTCAACAATCGTAAATTAAAATAAATCGGCAGTAAAGTTCTACTTTACTGCCGATTTCGGATAAAATAATTTTTCGTCAATCTTAAGTCTATTTTTAGTTAATCAAGCACTAACATTAGTTGTTTCAACAGCCATTTTGTTAAAATATTCATCAATGTTAGGATATTGCAGTTGGTGACCGGTAACTTATGTGACATTTGCAACATAAAGCCTGCATTTTAGGAAAAAATTAATAGATTAGGGTTGTCATAATTTAAGTTCCCATTACCTTAAAATGCTACATGCTCATTACACTAAAAAAAACCTTGAGCGAGAATTAGTTTTCACAAAAATAAGTGGATACAGCATCGGAACAAGTTATATGAGAATTTACCAATACCCGAAATAGTGTTTTCAAAACGCTTACAGTTATCCTCGAAATTAAAGCAAAATCCTCACAAAATACCCGCCAAATTTTTTTGGATTTAGTAATTGGAAGTAAAACGGTTCAAGTGCACTTTTTTAAATAAATGGTCTAAGTGCAGAATATCACACCTAAAGAATATTCTAACTTGGTGGTAAAATTATATAAGTACATTTTACATTCCCTGGCGCCATTTCTTTTCGTCTTTAAAAACCTGTCAAAATATTTTAAAATATATCTTTGGTAAAACGATTTAAGTGCACCTTTTACTGCTAAACATAGGCTATTATCTATGCTGCTAAAGCCTTGACAAGTAGCTCGTTTCGACATATTGTGACCGGGGTCGGAACGACATCGGCCAGCGTTACGATTATGGCATCGGTCCAGACTGAAAGGATTTAACATAGTAACTATGTTCCTGACATCAATGAAGAAGTAGAAGAAGGCCATGTAACTCCAGCAAAAACTAAAGCCGCTAAGCACAAAAATTTACTTAAGTACCTTATTGGACAATATTCCGCCAATTTACCACTTATTTTATAAAAACATAGAGCACGATCGAGATCCATCAGAAAAAAAGAAAAAAAAAAGAAACAAACTAAGACCCGAGGGGTCACCCACACCTGGGAATCCCTGGACATTTTAGAGGGGGAATACCATAGGAATACAATGGAAATACATAGGAATACAATAAAATATAATGGGAATACATGGGAATCCCTGGACGTTTTCCCTTTGGGTGGTTGACCCCTCGCTAAGACCATAGTATTGAGCCAAAAAAAATTCCAATTTAGGTCAACCCCAACCAAGACCATCTAATTCAGATGAAGAAAACGTTTTATTAGATTTTGATTATGAATAATACTTTTTGTTGTAAAACTTAAGTTTTAATTATAATTACCCAAATTTTAAAAAATAAAGTTTTGTTCTAGTACAGTAATTGCATTTAAATCATTTTACCACTAAATTTTGTCTTACATGCATGACGATTCAAGTACATTTTTGTAAAAAAATAACAAAAAAGCGAAATTGAAAAATTCCTTTTTCTTTATAATCCTTTTTATCTTTATACAAAACTAAAATATTCAAACAGTTTTTTAAACTCTTTTCTAGAATTTTAAAATTCAAGTTAACTTTAAAGCCATTTATCTCAGAACTAACAAAAATGCACTTAAACCCTTTTACTTCTAGGCCCCTCAATTATTATTTACTTTAAAATAATATATTTTATCTGATTGAAACACCATATAATAGTATATTATGTATCAAGTTTGATAAACGCCATTTTATACACGAATTTAATTTAGGTTAATGAGTGTATAGAAAAGTTTATAAACGAGGTGCATACTATACTTTTTCTACAACAAATACTTATTATTATCTTAAAATGATTTAAATCAAAAATTTGTATAGAGCGCCATCTATAAAACAACTGTCAAATGACACATTTTTACATTTTATAAACACAATTATAAAGGTTATAAATCGAAATGTATCTTGAAAATTGACAGTTTTTCACAGTGAAAGTAAAGGAAATGTTTTATGAGGACTTTTCAGTAGAGTCCGTGCCCGAATTTAAGTTATAGTTTACTGCCGGCGAAATTAAATGGTCAGTACAATGTTCATATAAACTTTTCAAATATTGGCGATAAGAAACTATTTAATACTTTTGTATTTTTGTATTGAGATAATAAAATAATTTTCACATTTTGTATTATTTTACAATTTTAACGATTGTATGACATTTGACAACTGTCAACTAACTTAAAACTAACTTCAGCCCGTGACTAAAAACCTGTTGCTAATTTCAGCCCGTGACTAAAGCGCCGTAAAGCCACAACTTGTCAATGTGCATTTAAAAGATCACTTAGTGTCATGGAAACATGTACGAAGGGCGTTTTAAAGGTGGGGGTAGAAAAATAGTTTTTTCATTAATAATATTTTCTTGTAATGTTAATGTTGTGTATTAGGTAGTTCTTTTACGTGTGATCATCAAATTATTCGACAATTTAATCTAAATATCGAATAATTTTATAAAAATTTGGATGAATTTCATAAGAGAATAAATGTTTAAATTCAAAATAACTATTATTTAAATTTTAAGGCGGGAAAAACACCTTTCTAGTCCAATCGACAGTAGCTACTGAAAACTACAGACCCCCGCCACTAGACGCCCCACAGTGCCCCCCAAAATGTGTCAGTTATTTCTGCATGTAGGTTTAAGTATAGAAAATTTAAACCTTATAAGGATTTATTCATGTGTTTTAGTGTTTGTTAAATATAGAAATTTAAGTGTTATATTCAGAATGACCCTGTATAAAAAATAGTATATATATATTGTTTCTAGCAACATCAGGTCAAGGTCAAATAAAACTATATTTTTTTGTAGGTAGGTATCAATATTTATCTTTATACTTATCAAAAAAATAAAACATGTAGATATTTTTGAATAAAATGTTACCTAATTTAAAATTAAATGAAAAAAAATGTTTCTTAAATTTAGTTTTATAATTTTTAGCTCTATTGATGTTTTTCCACGACTATACTGCACATATACCATAAAATATAACTAGTTACGGTCGGTAAGGTTATATGAGCAATTAACATAAATAACAATAAATCTTTATTGAAATTTTTTAGTTAAAGTTAAAATACAAGCATAGGTACTTACATCCATTTTAAAATGTAGGTATCACTAATATTTATTAAAAATTTAATTTTAAAAAATAAAATTTTGCGCAAGTGATTAAATCAACTGCCTGATTAAAAGCTTGTAAGACAGACTGAATTAAAAACATAATAAAAGTGCGTCATCAAGTTGACAAACAAATAACATTGTTGTACCCATCGTAAATTAAACAAAAAAATAACGCTTTATTATGATGGATTAAAACATTTCTTTATAATTATAATAATAATTTCAAAACAATTAAAATTCTTAATAACTCAAAAAAACTTGTTAGGTGGTCATTACTTAATTTTGTGGTTAGTAACGCTGATAAAAGTTGTGATAATTAACGTAAGTTTTTGATAAAACACATATTGAATGAATAATCATTCCAACATTAAAATTTTAACCAATCTTTCAATACACAAAAACTGACAGAACATGTATGTAAATTCTGAGCAAAAGCAGCAACACTTACATTTAGTACTGAGAAACATTTCTACATTATATACATAAAATTTGAATAAAAAAAACTTACTTTGTTTTGCTTTTTTGCCGATAGAAATGCCGAGAGTCTTTAGTCCTGCTGCTAAAAACATTAATATTGTTAAACAAAAAAGACCATGCAGAAAAATCACATACTAAAACTAAAACATGCTCTTGATTTTGTAAGGCTTTGCGTATACGTAAATACTAAATTCTAAATCAATATAGGGAATCTTGAATAAACGTTATCTTTGTTATCTCAAATTCCAGACAAACAAAGCTATTACAAAAATAAACTTGCCACGCAAAGCAGCTGTTTCTAATGAAAAGAAAAACTTGGCGTAAACAGCATCTTTGTTTTAAAGAAATCTATATCTATCTCTGAAACATTTAATTCATAATTTTTGTCGTTAGGATGTTTATCTACTCCTATACTCACAGATGTCAGATTGGTAAAGAGTGAGGTTAAAACCGCTTGACAGGTAATATAGTAAGACACAACTGTCTAAAAAATGACAACTTATAAGCTTGACATATTTGTCAATGATAACTGACATCTATTTTTTAGCTGCCTGACATGTCCACATTTTTAGAAACTAAATAATTGGGTTAAAAGTGTTTAGATTTAAATGTTACGGTATTATTTTAAGCTTAACACATAAAATTCCACTTTGTAGTTTCTAAATACGTGAAAAGTTTCCCAACGACAAAAATTAACAAATGTAGTTCAATATTTGGCTTACACTATAGAAAGTTAATGTTTTCCAAATTAACAAATAAATAAACTAACGTAAATAATTACATAAGCCAAAGCAGTTTCCAACAAAAATAGTAGTACGAAATATTCAAACAACTTATTACATGCTGGCCAAATGGAATAGGCAGATAAACACGATTTCTTAAGTTTTTTCGACAAATCGTATCGAATATCTAAACAAACACACTTACCAATTTTGACAACTTCTAATGGTTTATTTTTATTTCCCCTTTGGATAGTTGCAACTTTCCCCTCGATACTTCCTTTTGCCGCACACAAACGTATTTAGACAACACCAACAATTTTAAATAAATTAATTAAATTAATAATGCACTATGATGACACTACACTATTTTGTATAAAGAATTTTCAACATGGCGACCGTACTTCACAAATTAGGTTAAAAAAGATTATTTTGATTTTATCCAGCCGACGAAGTCGCGCACTTTAACCCGCACCGATTTTTTCTACCGAAATTCGTTTATATTCGCTGAAATATTAAAAAATTTGACAGTTTTTTAACAGAAAGTCTAAAAGTTGACGTTTGAATCGGCTGTTTGCCAATACGCATTTGGGTGGTCATCTTTTGTTATTTCTTATCTGTCAAAATCGGACTTCCCTCTATCAAACTTGCCCGGGAGATTTTTAATTACACCCCAATAAGCTTTAATTTTACTTACATTCGACTAAAACACTCTTAATGGAATAAAATTGATAAAATATTGGGGTTGTAATGGTTGTATTTTGTAATTAAAGTTAAAATACATATTTCACGGGCACGATTAATGCAACACAACTGTAAATTTTGCGTATTTCAACACAGCCAAAATAATGCGCATGCGTGACGCGCAGCGGTGAATGGCGGAAAAAACGAATTTGTTTACTAACCTCAAAATGAGACCGCAAAAGTTATTTACATTAATTTTTGTGAAGAAGAATAAGGAAATATTATTGGGCCATAAAACTCGCGGACTCGGTAAGGGGCTGTGGAATGGATTCGGGGGGAAAGTAGAAAATGAGACACTATTAAATTGTGCGAAAAGAGAGCTATATGAAGAATGCAGTTTGTTGGCGGAGAATTTAAATCATTTGGGTGTCGTTAAGTACGAAGTGGTGGATGAAGATGTAGACCACATAGTGCATGTTTTTACTTGCACAAAATATACCGGGACTGAACAAAGAAGTGAAGAGATGGATCCCATTCGGTGGTTTAATTTTAAAGATGTTCCATATGAGAAAATGTGGCCATGTGCTAAAAAATGGTGGCCATACATGCTGAGTGATAAATATTTTTCTGTGCATTGTATTTATAATGATGGTAATATAATAAGTAATAATGTTTTAGGTCATGGCTCTATTAACCATGTTTTTTCTGAATTGTCTTTGTGAATAAAAGAATTATTTAATATAGAAAAGTTTATTAAAAAATTGGGAAATTAAACTAGTTGGGCTTCATATGTCAAAGCCCTGGACAAATTTCTGGCAGCAGCTAAGCGTAGGATTTCAATTTTGTCTTTGAGTTCGGGTAAGTCTTCTTTTTCCTCTAGGCAGTGTATAATTGTGTATGTATCGTTGGAAGAAAACACTATTTCTTCACTTTCCAGTAGAGGTATTGCTTCTATAAAAAGAACATACCAAAAACTAAAACAATAAGAGATATAACTTGTTTTTAAATGTACTTAAAAATCTTACTAATTTGGGATTATTTTCGACGCTAAAAGAGATACCAACAAATTGGCTGCTTCCTTATATTCCCCAGACTGATACAATTTATGGAACTCGTAATATTTTCCTAAAAATATCAGTCTATCACTGGCCAGCATGCAGGATCCCAGGTTATCCAGTAAGTCAGTGCTGGCCAGTTTTCCATCTTTGGTGTACTCATGTAAAAATTTGTCCGCCAAAAACGATGTGAATGGGCCGTCCTGTGATTTTAATGCCCATGTTAGGGCGTTTCCCAATCTACCCCTCTTTAAGGATTTCATGCCTTGTACTTTGCAAATACTTTGGGCTAAAAATATTATTTTTAGTTCACAATTCTGGCATTTGATATTATTAAATATTATTATTATATTTTTACATTCTTAAATTTACATTCTAAATTATGTTTTATCATTTGTAATACATACATAATATGTATTTAAAATGTTATTGTTAATTTAGAATGCATTCTAAAATGCTATTTTTGACATTCAATTGAGTTTACACATTAATACTCGTTTTTGACATTCTTAGTTGAGTTTCAAGCATTAATACTTGTTTTTGACGTTCTAAACTATGTTTTTTACATTCTTAATTGAGTTTTAAACATTAATAATTGTTTTTGACATTCTAAGCTGTGTTTTTTACATTCTTAATTGAGTTTCAAACACTACCTAATACTTGTTTTTGACATCTAAGCTGTGCTTTTTTTACACATTTTCTATTTGAGTTTTAAACATTAATTCTTTTTTTAGTTCTTAATTAAATTTCTTGTTTTTTTGGCATTCTGCTTTTTAGATTTTCAGTTGAGTTTTAAACATTAATATATTCTTGTTTTTTTGACATTCTAACTGTGTTTGTATACATTCTCAATTAAGTTTTATACATTAATGTGTAAAGTTTTTTGACATTTAGCTGTTTTTTAAATTTTCAATTGAGTTTTAAACATTAATAATTGTGTTTTACACATTTTCTATTTGAGTTTAAAACATTAATATATATTTTTTTGTAATTCTAGCGATGTTTTTTACATTCTTAATTGAGTTTCAAACATTAATACTTGTTTTTGACATTCTCCATTGACTTTTAAACATTAATGCTTGTTTTTTACATTCTGAATTAAGTTTTAAACATTAATACTTGTTTTTGACATTCTAAGCTGTTTTTAAGTGAGTTAAGGCATTTTTGACATTCTAAATTGAAATAAAAACACATTTCTAAGTAAGTTTGACATTATTAAATAATTTACATTTTCAAATTAAAACTGACTTTCACTGTAAAAATTAGGAAAAGTTCTTACCAACATGCACAAGTTCTCTATTTTTGGCCTCCCTGAGTATTTTTTGAGTTTTAGCTTCAGTTTCTAGAGGTATTCTTGGCAGTATCAACTCTATGGCTTTTAAACCTTCAGTGGGGCAAAAATCCAAATAACTCAGCCCCACTTGCCATAGAGATTTGTGGCCCATCAAAAGAGAACCATAGTCCAGTAAAAACGATTCGTGAAGTTTTTCTGCAGAACTAAAATGATTTTATTTTAGGTTAATTTTTGCATTATTTATTTCTTTGTTTATTACAATGTTTCTACTTCCTTTTCTAAATTCGATAATTTACCAGCATGGTACAATAAGTCAGTGAGATGTGTAACAAACCACCCATTCTCAGACATGTGTTGAATTTCTTTTATCACCTAAAATAATTTTGTTTGTGTTAAATACCGGGGATCAGAATTACGTCCGCTTTATAAAAATCATCTTCCAAGTGAATGGAATAATTCAAAAGCCTCATCACCTCCCAAAGCCTACTTTATAAATCACCGCTTATATATCAAAACACTTGCCGAACAACAGCGAGCGGTGTCGGCAGCGCCATCTACCGGGATTTGTACCAACCTGTAAGACGTCGAATTCCATCGCGGCTAAAAGAACGCGGTCGAGGTGCTTCATGTTGTTTCGCATTCGCATTTTGGTGATGCAGTGCTTAGCGAACTGCCCGACCTCAAATATTTTCACTGTGGGTTCAGTGTAAAAAAGCCAGGCTGCAAGCAGTTCGTACCACGTCTCGCAGTGAGACTGTATTTCTGTCCAGGCCGTTTCCTCGCCTACAACTAACTGTGATTTTGTTAGATATTTCCAAATTGTGTTACTTAGGACTTACCCTCATTATTAAATTCAAGTTTGGACTAGTAACAAACATTTTTGCGTCTATTTTTGACTGCACATCCACCGTCCAATGCCTCCACTGAATATTAAACTCACTAACAGAAGTACCACTAAAAACCTAAAAAAAACGCATACAAAACAAATAGGTAACAATTTAAATAACACCTACATTATAAACAGGCATCGCCTTCAAAATTTGATCGACAAGTCTGAAAACATGGCTATCAGATGCTGAATGTTGCTTTAGTAACGCCCGAACGACTTTTACCCTGCCCTGCAGCAACGACCCTATAACAGTCGGCCAAAACTCTGGATTGGCCTCTAAACCAATCAAATCGCCCGACAGCATATTTGCCGCGTTCCTCTCATGTTTCGGAAAGTGAAATCGCACCCAATCCAGCAACAATGGCAAAACAATGTTGCCAGGTATAGTATCAACAAACAATATTTCACACAAATGCCAGATGCACTCGATCGAATAAAATATTGTTATGTAGTCCTGCAGGGTTTCTTTATCTTCCCCTTCGACCTTCGTAATGTCGTCCTGCAAGTCTTCCAAGCAAGCTCTCACAATAGAACGGTACTGTCGGCTCAACTTAAGTAACTCTGACTTGTGATCGAGGGTTTTATCGCTTATAACACCCTGTAGGTTCAGGAAAGCCCCGTTGGATTCGTTAACGAGTTTCCTTAATATTGGCTGGAATAATAGTACGTGCTGTCGCAGTAAAAACACACTGGACGGTTGAGACGAGGCAAAATTGCTAGGCCCGTCTTTTTGCCGTACGTTGCGTTTTTCGTAGGCGAAAACCGACATTTGATTTATCGGCGTCCACGACGCCGCCAAACCCGTACGCCGGCATAAATCGTTGGGTATTATCTGGAATTTCGAAAATGTAACCTTAAATGCATTCCACATAACCTCACAATACTTACGAATGTCTTTAAATCACCCTCCATGGTGAGTTTTACTCACAGATTACTTTGAAATGTTTTTATTGTGGGTAAATTTTAATATTACAGTACGTTTTTACTTTAAAATTTATTTATTTCGGCGAATTCGTTATTTACAAAACACACTTTTATTTTACAAGGTTGGTACACAATTTTTTGTTCTGTTGTTGGTGGTACTTATTTAACGAGGGAAATTCAAACGTCTCTTATTTCACTAACATTAGTCGTTGGTGTTTCATTTTGTTTGTGATAAAAGCAGCTATGTAAACAGGACTTTTCGAATAAAGTATCCCAACTTTCGGAATTCTGTGAGGCAAGTTCAACATTTGTGTTATCATTTTTTAGAAATTCATTTTTTGTATCTAACGTTTCGATGTCGTTGTTTAATTGGTCTATAAGTTCTCTCCACTGCTTTAAGAGTCTGTAGTTCCCTGAAAGTTTACTATTAGGAACATTAACGCAAATATACAGTTCATTTTTTTTTATCTGGACTCGTGTTTTTTTGTTAGGTTGGTGGCTTATGTCAGTTTGACTTAGTATTTTTTGTATTTAAAAATGGTACTTATGCTAAAGAATTTAATTATAATTAAATATTTATAAATACTTTGACACTGTCAAATTGACAATAATAATTATTATTGATAATTTACTTGTCAATTATAAATAAAAAGATAATTATGCCAAAAATAATAGCAACGAATTCGAATGTAAAAGCCCTTTTGAGGGCAAAACTTCATTTTGATGAAATTAGAAGAAAAAGTACATCGCCTTATGGACATTTTTGGAGTAAAAAAGTAACGAATTTGGTTTTATAAATATTACATCACACAATATTTTCACATTATTCACCATTGGACAACATTTACGTTCACAAAAAATTTTAATTTCTTTTATATAAATTCTTTTCAAAGCGAAGATTATTATCCGCTAGTAATACTTTCTCTTCTGGGCCGTAAAGCAACCTATATTTAACTACTTTTTTATATGATTTTACTCATCCAAGCACCACCAAAGCCAAATTAATTGCATTTTTAACTACGAATTTCGACAACTCAACTTGACAACTGCACAATGTAACCTACAATAATTTATACATAACCACAATTAGATTTATAACTAGCTTAGTTTGTTTTAATCAATGCGACCAACTTGACAACTGTATTTACCAACCAAAACCCTAAATTTGCAACGTTGCCGCAGTCCAGATAAAAAAATTAACTTTAGTAAAAATTACTTCTATATCGGCTAAAATATCGGTCCATTCCTTCCTTTTTCTGTCCACATTTGCAATAATTATCCAAGTATTGAGTTAGGTAGTTACTGATTGTCATGAAGAATATTATAATAGGTTTTAGGTGTTCTTTGGTTATAAACTCTTCGTGGATGAGAATGTTCAACAAACTAACAAAAAAAATCTTAAATTCTGAACCTTGTATTCTCATATTCGCATGGTTTAAAGCAATTTGTTTCAGTAAATCAAAAACGGCTGTATCCTCATTTTCTATGTACTGTATTATGATCGGAAATATTCTCATTATTATAGAAAAGTGACCCACAATTCTATCGTCTATAGTTTTCCATTTTTTATGGCGGCCATACTGAGCTATTTCCACGAATTTTTCGAAAAAACTTCGCTGGAATGGGGCTAGACTTTTTAAAGTTAAATATGAGCGTAAAAAATGTTTACCTTTTGATTTTATTCAGCGAATAGTTTAAGATTCTATAAAAAATTAACATATGTTATACAGGGTGTTTGGCATAGAAAAATTAGCCGATAGAGGTCCGAAAAATGAGGTTATGTGCCCTCTAGCGGTTAAATAAAGAAACCATTTTACCTTTTATGCATTGTGTACCCAAAATCTTCGTTTATAATTTTACAAATGGCTTTAACCTCTTGATTTATCTGTTTTGTAATTAAACACTTCCCATTCATTAACTCCTTTTGTTGTTCATAAATACGGATCATTGTTTCTTCGGGTATGTAATAACCCTCTTGGAAATCTTTAATGAAAGTCATACTGTTCTCAGTTTCAGGAAATGTGATCTGTGTGGCATCGATGGAATCGTTTAAAGCAAATATTGGTCCTTGATTGTCCAATTTTTTTTTTCTGGCCATAACTTGGCCCATTTTATTTCACAAGAATTTTGATATTTTGATGAAACTGACAGTTAAAATTATACAATAAGTCAACTATAGAATATATTTATACACTACTTATATTAACAACATTAATCTTTAAAAATATCACTGACTTTAACGTTTATTTTGGGGGCATCTTCCTGTTGTACCAGTGTTTTTTGTGCTTTCTTGAACGCATTGCTCAAGCTCACCTCCTCACTACCTTCACTTGTTTGTCTAGTGTTACGCTCCCTATTTAACATATCGATTGCTTGTTTATATAACGACTCCATACTTTCGCTTCCCTGAGTTTGTTCCTCTAATTTTTCGTAGGTTTCTATAAAGCGTTGTGTAAGGCTTTTAGTGGTATTATTTGTTAAAACACCCGCACCAATTTGTCTGTTATTTTGATGGAATAACCTGTAAAAAAAATTATATTGCTTAGTTGACATTTAAACAATAATAATTACGCTCTAGCTTTATCCTCTTTGTAGAAAATCGTTTTAAGCCTCATATTAGGTGCAGGTCTATCAAATTTAGGTTCTTCCTTAGGTGGAAAAGCTTCATAAACATCGTACCAAAGCGGCCGATCTTCCCAACTCAAAGCACCAGATCTTATTAAACCTGATGTTCTACAATAAAAAAAGAGTATTATGAAGACTAGAAGTAGTAGTTCGAACACAAACCTTGAGTAAATACTGCCGATTTTCTCCAAACGACTCCCAGCCATGATCTATTTTGACAACTAAAAGTAGGGTTAGAAAGTCATGCCAACATAATCCGAACGAATTGTGGTAAAATCACCGTAAAATCTGATTGTTTAGGTTGGCCCTGCTCGCTTAACCAAACTTTCTAGTTGTCAAAATCAGTGTAAGTAATTTCACGTGTATTATTTAAATCGGCGTGGAAATGGTTGAAGTAACGAAAGAACAAATTCAAAAAATCGGTGACCTATTAAACGACCCGAAAAGGCCACTGAAAGAAAGGTTTCGTGCCTTGTTTACGCTGAGAAATATCGGCGGGCCCCTTTCTATAGAGAGCATAGAAAAATGCTTTTGTGACAGTAGTACTTTGTTGAAGCACGAGTTGGCATATTGTTTGGGCCAGATGCAAGATAAAACGGCCAATCCCGTGCTTGTTAAAGTGCTGGAGAATGTCAACGAAGAAGCCATGGTTCGACATGAAGCAGGTAAATAGTTAAAGAAGATACCATTATTTTGGAATTTTTGATTGAGGATTTAGATTTTGTTTTGTTTTTTAGTAAATCGTAGAATACACAAAATTAAATTTTTTGCTAAAAAATACGTTTCTGTAAACTTTAGAAAACTATTTAATTATTCTCGTTTTGATAACAAAAAGAAAACAAAACAACTGCCTTTTATATTAACAAAATTAACAAAATATTACAATCCACACAACAAGGTCTATTCTATTTAGTTACCTTTTGTCACCTTTAACAGCTGTTAGGGAGGTAAATAGGATTATTATTAATTATATATTAGAATATTTCCTTCATTATAATATTAACCAATCAAAAGCCTTGAATTTTCGAATAAATTTCGTTTAAATAAGCGATTAAATCACTAGAACTATTTAACAGCGATTAAATTTTAGCCTTCATATAGGATTTTTGTTTACGATTTTATGGTGTTATTTACAAGTTTTAACAAACATTTTTTAAAAAACAATAAAAAATAAGTTATATAGTTTACGAAATATCAATTATTACTTATTACATACCATAAATTAATGGAATTTTCTTTAAAAAAATATTTATAAATTTTGACACATACGTCAGATTTTATGAATTGTCAAATAGTTTCCTTTAATTCGGGAAATAATCTAGACGTATATCACTCAACCTATAAATTTAATCTGTCAAACTATGCTCAGTAAATTTTTTATTTGATTTTTCTTTTTGGAAAATAGTTTCATGCAAAATAATTAAAAATAAAACCCCTCTCGTGATTTTATTAAATTATTTTGCATTCAACATTTTCCAAGAAAAACCAAACAAAAAACTACTGAGCCTAGTTTAACCGATTAAATTCATAGTTCTCGTGATATAATATATGAATATTTAACAAAATATATGTTGGATACATAAAATAATAATATATATACCAGAGACTGACTTTAGATGGCAAAATTTCTGGGTTTTATGGCTGAAAATGTCTTTAAAACTGGCTAAAAACATACTTTTGGCGGTGCATCATATAGGTTATAAAACTCTGACTTTTGACATTTTAGTATTCTAAGGTCCCAAATCTAGGGACCCTATGGTATTATTCATGTGGTTTGTATGTTTTTTCGGTCCAATTTTTCTTCTTATAGCAACTATGTATCTTTGAAGTAACCTAGATTATTTTTTTATTTATATATCTCAGATATAATATCTGTCACAGATAATCTGTGTATACAAAAACTACTCTGCTATTTAATTGTTTTTAAAATATATCTACTTACTATCCTTAACATCAATTTATTCAAGCTTATGGATTTTTACACTTACAAAACTTTAAAATAGCTTAAAAACAACTCGCATCAAAATGTAAATGGTCAATATGGCGGCGACTGGGTGCTCCCACCTCTTCGCCAATCTGATGGAGTGGGGGAAACAGATGCACAAGTACATTCTTTTTTTTTTGTACCATGGAACAGACCTTGTTGTTTGGATTGTGTAAAATATAAAATTACTGTCTAAATTAATATTCTTTTTTTTATGATCTTAATGTTCGTATTTTAGCTGAAGCCTTGGGAGCGATTGGCAGCCCTGAGAGCTTAACCATACTGCAAAAATACAGCACCGACAACGCTGTAGAGGTGGCGGAAACCTGTCAACTGGCTCTGGAACGAATAAAGTGGTTGGAAAACCAAGAAAACGGAAAACTGACGCAAAACCCTTACCATTCAGTGGACCCGGCCCCCCCTACGGAGGCAAAAAGCGTGGACGAACTGAAAAACACGCTCCTCGACGAGTCGGCCAGTTTGTTCGACAGATACAGAGCCATGTTTTCGCTTCGCAACGTTGGCAGCAAGGAGTCAGTATTGGCTCTGGGGGAGGCACTGGATTGCGGCAGCGCCCTCTTCCGGCACGAAATCGCGTTCGTTTTGGGGCAGATGCAGGACGCGAACGCAGTGCCGTACTTGAAAAAATCGCTCGAAAAAAGCGAAGAGAGCGCAATGGTGAGGCACGAGTGCGCAGAAGCACTAGGCGCCATCGCCACGGACGAATGCACTGAAGTTTTGAATAAGTATTTGAAGGATAACGCCCAAGTCGTGAAGGAGAGTTGCGAGATAGCATTGGATATGTGCGAGTATGAAAACAGTGCCGAGTTTCAGTACGCCAACGCTCTCAGCATATCAGCCGAAAAATAAAATTATTTTACGTATTTTTACAATATATTTTTAAGTTATATCTACAACTTGTTTTATTTATTATTTTATTTTTTTTGTATGTTACAAACGAGTGTTTTTGAGAATAAAGTCGGAAAATGTTAAAAAATATCGTAAAAAACCGGCTCGATTTGGGTGTATTTCGAGAGGAAATCCTGAGTTTTTACCGGTTTTCCAATAATCAGTCTTAATCCGAATGAAGAAATAAATTGCATACAGTCTCTGTAAATATAAATTGTACCTATTAAATGCAATAAATACACATTTTAGTAGTGATTAACGTGAAAAGTGTAAACATTTCAATTCAATGCCTGCATTTTAATTTTTACGGGCACGCTAGTGACGTAATGGATGAAATTCGTCATAGTATGTATTACATTGACGTGCCGCCAGGGTTGCCAACTCTTGAGATGCACATTATAGTATTTTCTCAATTTAATAGAAGTTAGAATTTTAATAAAGACAGCTTTTTTATTATATTATATAATATATATTATCTATTTTCAAAAAACGTTTGTTGTGACAATAACTCCAATTTCAAAGATACATACCTTTATTATACAGGCTATATATAAAAGTTGTTAAACTACTCAAAATAGCGTAGAATATAAATATTCTCTTTTTGGCGACACAGCTGTGCAATGTTGCCATCCCGTAAAAGATGAACAATACGAAAACCGTTTTGTTTATAGATTTTCGTAAATTTCTTCAAACTTGTTTAGTCCACTTTTATTTATAAAATCGCCTTTGATTTTAACTTTTAGAAAATTTAAATAGTTTTTTGTAAGGGGTCGTAGGTCAAAATTTTGTTTAGATTTTTGTATTTTTTAGTTTAATATCTATAATTTTTGTGTTAAATATTTTCAACAAAAATATCAACCGATATTATTTAACTTTTATTTTCAAAACGTCTTTAGAAAATAACACTATTTTTAAATCCTAATTACTCAAAATGGTGCGTAATTTTTGGAAACTATAATCGAAATTACATTATTTGATTATTAATAAAATAATAAATAACGAATATATAAGAAGAAATTCGTCACGCTTAACGTAATATGTTTATCGCGCAGGTCTGACTCACCCTCTTTTTTGGTTGTTTTTGTTAATAATTATAATCCCTACAACGTAATCAAGCGTTCAGTTGGAATTTGGCTTTTATGTGACGAACATGCTCATTTATTACTTTTATGTACATCAACAAATTGCTAGGTTTTATTAAAATTCTAACGCTTCTATTAGGTCAAATAATACTACGAATACTTTTAATATTTAAAAAAATAAAAAACCTAAAAGTTGCAGTCCTTAAATGGTCTAATTGTATTTTTTTTTCCAGGACCAACATGTTAAAGCCATGGCTATTAAGCTAATGAATATTAAGAAATAAGACAACCAATATATAAGGATAATGGGATTTAACCAGAACTCATCAATAAATTTGGCAAGTACCAATTTATTATTTTTAAATTTTTTGACTAAAATAAAAGTAGGTACCTAGGTATTTATTCGCTAATTTTTATGTTTTTTTAACTAAATTTCTTCAAACTTGCTTAGTCTACTTTTATTTATAAAATCGCCTTTGATTTTAACCTTTAGAAAATTTAAATAGTTTTTTGTTGTTTAAAATCTATATATGTATATATATATATATATATATATATATATATATATATATATATACAGTGTGGCCCATTTGTTTGCAACTCACCCCTGTAAAATCTTTATTTATTGTGCGATTTTAACCGGATTTGTCTTAAAGTGTAGATCTTGGTAAACTGTAATTTTGTAGCAAAATACGCCATATTAGTACAAAATGCAAGGCCTACTGTGTTAGTTTTTTAGAGTAAATTTTTAATAATTTATATTAGCGATTTTTTAAACAAAGTCGCAAACAAATGGGTCACAATGTATCTATAATTTTTGTGTTAAATATTTTTAACAAAAATATCAACCATGGTTGCAATAAGTATAAAAAGTATACGTATAAAAATGATTCTTATTTAAGTTTTTATTTTCAAAACGTCTTTAGAAAATAACACAAATTAAATTTAATTTTGAAACCCTAATAACTCAAAATGGTGCGTATTTTTTGGGAAACTGTATAATCGAAACTAGATTATTTGAGTATTAATAAAATAATAAATAACAAATATATCTATAATTAAAATTTGTCACCCTTAACGTAATATGTTTATCGCGCAAGTCTGACTCACCCTTTTTTTGTTTTTGCTGATAAAATAATTATAATCCCCACAACGTAATCAACCATTTAGTTGTAATTTGGCTTTGATACGACAAACATGCTCATTTATTACTTTGATCTACATCTATAGATGTATTTGTATACAAATTGCTAGGTACCTACCTATAGGTATATATATATATAGGTATATATATATATATACTTATTATTAGAATTCTAACGCATCTATTATCTCAAATATTACTACGATTTTTTTGATATTTAAAAAAATAAAAACATAAAAGTTGCAGCCCTTAAATCGTCTAATTGTATTTTTTTCTAGGTTCAACATGTTATAGCATTAACCCAAGGATAATAAGAAATAAGACAACCATATAAGGATAATACGATTTAACCAGAACTCATCAAGGAATTTGGCAAGTACCTACCAATTAATTATTTACCAATGGATAATAAGAAATAAGACAACCATATAAGGATAATACGATTTAACCAGAACTCATCAAGGAATTTGGCAAGTACCTACCAATTAATTATTTTTAATTTTTTTGACTAAAAGTTTTTATTATCGAAATTTCTTTAAGTATCTTTTCGTCGGGTCAAATATGGTTTAAGTTGGAGATAGAACTAATTCTTTATTTAAAGATCAGTTCTTTTAGTTCGTTTTTGTTAGGGATCGTAGGTCAAAATTTTGTGATTCTTTTTGTCAGGTCAAATCTTGTTTAAGTTGGTTAAGTTGGAAATTAAACTTATTCTTTACTTAAAGATTAGTTCTTTTTTGTGAAGGGGTCGTGCTTCAAAATTTATTTTAGATTTTTTTATCAGGTCAAATTGTGTTTATTGGGATATTTTTAAAGATCAGTTCTTTTTTTGTCAGGGGTTGTAAATCAAAACTTTTTTAGATTCCTTTTGTTAGGGCAAATCTTGTTTAAGTTGGAGATGAAAATAATTCTTTATTTAAAGATAAGTTCATTTAGTTCGTTTTTGTTAGGGGTCGTCAAATTTTCATTAGTTTCTTTAAGTTGGATATAGAACTTATTCTTTTTTAAAGATCAGTGTTTTTTTTGTTAGGGGTCGTAGGTCAAAACTTTTTTAGATTCTTTTTGTTAGGGCAAATCTTGTTTAAGTTGGAGATTCTTTATTTAAAGATAAGTTTTTTTAGTTTATTTTTGTTAGGGGTCGTAAGTCAAATTGTCATTAATTTTTTTAAGTTGGATATGAAACTTATTCTTTTTTTAAAGATCAGTTCTTTTTCTTTTTTTTTTGTTAGGGGTCGTAAATCAAAACTTTTTTAGATTTTTTTTGTTAGGGCAAATCTTGTTGGAGATTGAAATAATTCTTTATTTAAAGATAATTTTTTTTAGTTCGTTTTTGTTTAGGGTGGCAAGTCAAATTGTCATTAGTTTCTTTAAGTTGGATATGAAACTTATTATTTTTTTAAAGATCAGTTCTTATTCTTTTGTTAGGGGTCGTAAGTCAAAACTTTTTTGGATTATTTTTGTTAGGGCAAATCTTGTTTAAGTTGGAGATGGAACTAATTCTTTATTTAAAGATAAGTTCTTTTAGTTTGTTTTTGTTAGGTTGTAAGTCAAATTGTCATTAGTTTTTTTAAGTTGGATATGAAACTTATTCTTTTTTTTAAGATCAGTTTCTTTCCTTTTTTTTGTTAGGGGTCGTAAGTTAAAACTTTTTTAGATTTTTTTTGTTAGGGCAAATCTTGTTTACGTTGGAGATTGAAATAATTCTTTATTTAAAGATAATTTCTTTTAGTTCGTTTTTGTTTAGGGTGGTAAGTCAAATTGTCATTAGTTTCTTTAAGTTGGATATGAAACTTATTCTTTTTTTTAAAGATCAGTTCTTATTCTTTTTTTTTGTTAGGGGTCGTAAGTCAAAACTTTTTTAGATTCTTTTTGTTAGGGCAAATATTGTTTAAGTTGGAGATGGAACTAATTCTTTATTTAAAAATCCGTTCTTTTAGTTCGTTTTTGTTATGGGTTGTAAGTCAAATTGTCATAAGTTGGATATGGAACTTATTCTTTTTTTAAAGATCAGTTCTTATTCTTTTTTTTTGTTAGGGGTCGTAAGTCAAAACTTTTTCAGATTCTTTTTGTTAGGGAAAATCTTGTTTAAGTTGGATATGGAAATAATTCTTTATTTAAAGATAAGTTCTTTTTGTTCGTTTTTGTTAGGGTTCGCAAGTCAAATTTTTATTAGATTCTTAAAGTTGGAGATGAAACTTATTCTTTTTTAAAAATCAGTTCTTTTTCTTTTTTTTTTGTTAGGGGTAGTAAGTCAAAACTTCTTTAGATTCTTTGTGTCAGTTCAAATCTTGTTCCTTGGTGATATGTTACCGAAACAAAACACAAAGTGCTTTAAGTACTTTTCGCCAACAATGTTCAGAAGCGAAGTGTAACTAAATCTAAATGCTAAATCTACCAAATTTATACTAATTATTATAGTTTACTAAACCCTGGACCGTCATCGCTTCAGTGAACACGTAAAGAGAAACTAACAAACTCTAGTTGGGTACCGGTCTGTTATCGATAATTAAACATTTATTTCTATTCTTATAGATGTATAAACTTTTATAACTATCTAGTAGGCATAAGTTTTAGGTTGCCAAATCCTATTCTTTGACCATCATCAAGTATGTGTTGGGCAACACTCGAATTCTCTGTCCTATCAAATCTAGCACTTGGCCCATGCTAGATTTGGTAGTACAGAGAAACCGAATGTTGCTCAACATCCGCTAGTTTTCTCTGTGCTACAAAATCTAGCACTTGGCCAATGCTAGATTTGGTAGGACAGAGAAATCGAGTATTGCCCAACATATTCTTGATGATGGTCATAGAATAGAATTTGACAACCTTACACTTATTAAGGAAGTTAAGAACCAAGTCTGCTAGATAGTTATCAAGGTTTATACGTCTATAAGAATAGGAATAAATCTTTGAATAGCGATAACGGACCGGTACCCTAGTCTAGTTTGTTTAAATTAGTTTGTTAGTTTCTCTTTACATGTTCACTGAAGCGATTACGGTCCAGTGTCCGTTTACGGTTCAGTCAACCTTAGCTTATAATTAGTATAAATATGGTAGATTTAGCATTTAGATTTATTTACACTTCGCTTCTGAAGATGCCAACATCGTTGGCGGAAAGTACTTTAAGCAATTTGTGTTTTGTTTCGGGGAATATTTCTAATATTTGTTTAGGTCAAATCTTGTTTAAAGTTGGAGATGGAACTAATTCTTTATTTAAAGATTAGTTCTTTTACTTCGTTTATGATAGGGGTTTTCTTTTTTAAAGATCAGTTCTTTTTTTTGTTGGGGGTCGTAAGTCAAAACTTGTTTAGATTCTTTTTGTTACGGCAAATCTTGGAACTAATTCTTTATTTAAATTGTCATCAGTTTTTTTGTTAGGGGTCGTAAATCAAAATTTTTTTAGATTCTTTTTGTCAGCGCAAATCTTGTTTAAGTTGGATATGGAACTAATTCTTTATTTAAAGTTAAGTTCTTTTAAGTTCTTTTAGTTCGTTTTTGTTAGGGGTCCCAAGTCAAATTGTCATTAGTCTTTTTTAAGTTAAATATGGAACTTATTCTTTTTTAAAGATCAGTTCTTTTTTTTCTTAGGGGTCGTAAATCAAAATTTTTTTAGATTCTTTTTGTCAGCGCAAATCTTGTTTAAGTTGGAGATGGAACTAATTCATTATTTAAAGTTAAGTTCTTTTAAGTTCTTTTAGTTCGTTTTTTTTAGGGGTCCCAAGTCAAATTGTCATTAGTCTTTTTTAAGTTAAATATGGAACTTATTCTTTTTTAAAGATCAGTTCTTTTTTTTCGTAGGGGTCGTAAATCAAAATTTTTTTAGATTCTTTTTGTCAGCGCAAATCTTGTTTAAGTTGGAGATGGAACTAATTCATTATTTAAAGTTAAGTTCTTTTAAGTTCTTTTAGTTCGTTTTTGTTAGGGGTCCCAAGTCAAATTGTCATTAGTCTTTTTTAAGTTAAATATGGAACTTATTCTTTTTTAAAGATCAGTTCTTTTTTTTCTTAGGGGTCGTAAATCAAAATTTTTTAGATTCTTTTTGTCAGCGCAAATCTTGTTTAAGTTGGAGATGGAACTAATTCTTTATTTAAAGTTCTTTTGGTTTGTTTTTGTTAGGGGTCGTAAATCAAATTGTCATTAGTCTTTTTAAGGTGGATATGGAACTTTTTCTTGTTTAAAGATAAGTTTTTTTTTTTCTTAGGGGTCGTAAATCAAAATTTTTTTAGATTATTTTTGTCAGCGCAAATCTTGTTGCAGATGGAACTAATTCTTTATTTAAAGATAAGTTCTTTTAGTTTGTGTTTGTTAGGGTCGTAAGTCAAATTGTCATTAGTTTTTTTTTTAAGTTAAATATGGAATATATTCTTTTTTAAAGATCAGTTCTTTTTTTTCTCAGGGGTCCTAAATGAATTTTTTTTTAGATTCTTTTTGTCAGCACAAATCTTGTTTAATTTGGAGATGGAACTAATTCTTTATTTAAATTGTCATTAGTTTTTTTTTGTTAGGAGTCGTAAATCAAAACATTTTTAGATTCTTTTTGTCAGCGAAAATCTTGTTTAAGTTGGATATGGAACTTATTCTTTTTTAAAGATCAGTTCTTTTTATTCTTAGGGGTCGTAAATCAAAATTTTTTTAGATTATTTTTGTCAGCGCAAATCTTGTAGATGGAACTAATTCTTTATTTAAAGATAAGTTCTTTTACTTTGTTTTTGTTAGGGTCGCGACCGGTCAAATTGTCATTAGTTTTTTTTAAGTTAAATATGGAACATATTCTTTTTTAAAGATCAGTTCATTAGTTTTTTTTCTTAGGAGTCGTAAATCAAAACATTTTTAGATTCTTTTTGTCAGCGAAAATCTTGTTTAAGTTGGATATGAAACTAATTCTTTATTTAAAGTTAAGTTCTTTTAGTTCGTTTTTGTTGGGGTCGTAAGTCAAATTGTCATTAGTTTTTTTTAAGTTAAATATGGAACATATTCTTTTTTAAAGATCAGTTCTTTTTTTTTTCTTAGGGGTCGAAATCAAAATTTTTTTAGATTATTTTTGTCAGCGCAAATCTTGTTTAAGTTGGAGATGGAACTAATTCTTTATTTAAAGATCAGTTCTTTTACTTTGTTTTTGTTAGGGTCGTAAGTCAAATTGTCATTAGTTTTTTTTTTAAGTTAAATATGGAATATATTCTTTTTTAAAGATCAGTTCCTTTTTTTCTTAGGGGTCGTAAATCAAAATTTTTTTAGATTATTTTTGTCAGCGCAAGTCTTGTAGATGGAACTAATTCTTTATTTAAAGATAAGTTCTTTTACTTTGTTTTTGTTAGGGTCGTAAGTCAAATTGTCATTAGTTTTTTTTAAGTTAAATATGGAACATATTCTTTTTTAAAGATCAGTTATTTTTTTTGTCAGGGGTCGTAAATCAAAACTTTTTTAGATTCTATTTGTTAAAGCAAATCTTGTTTAAGTTGGAGATGAAACTAATCTTTATTTAAAGTTCTTTTAGTTTGTTTTTGTTAGGGGTCGTAAGTCAAATTGTCATTAGTTTTTTTTAAGTTGGATATGGAACTTATTCTTTTTTAAAGATCAGTTTTTTTTTCTTAGGGGTCGTAAATCATTTTTAAATTTTTTTTAGATTCTTTTTGTCAGCGCAAATCTTGTTTAAGTTGGAGATGGAACTTATTCTTTATTTAAAGTTAAATTCTTTTAGTTCGTTTTTGTTAGGGGTCGTAAGTAATATTATTATTAGATTCTTTAAGTTGAATATGGAACTTATTCTTTTTTTAAAGATCAGTTCTTTTACTTCGTTTTTGTAGGGATCATAGGTCAAAATTTTGTTTAAATTCTTTTCTTCAGGTCAAATTTCAAGTTGGCGATGAAACTAATTCTTTATTTGTTCGCTTTTGGGTAGGACACATATTTTTTAAATTCTTTTGTTCGTTTTAGTCTGTTTTAGATGGTGATTATCCTATGGAACCAGGCGCCCAGGAGTTTCCTATAAAACCCTCCTTTTTATTCTTTCCATTTAGACCCATTTTAGTTCAATTTCACAATCTTCAGATTGTTGAATTAAATTAAAATGGTAGATGGATCTTGAAAAAACTTTTTGGATTTTGTCTCGGAACATCGGTAATCCGTGCTAACCCGTTTTTAACGTGGAGCATGTTGTTGCGCACCGGCGCTAATCTATTTGTAATTTTATTATCTGTCGTTTTCCTTTTCTACCCTTCCTATTACCCTAATTCCTTCGATTGGACCTGACGTGGACATCTTGGACTTCTTGGAACTTCAGGGTGCGAGTGAATCTTATATGCGAGTATGTATACAACCAGTATATTTGTTTTTTTCGTGTTTTTGTTTAATTAAATACTTTATCTGTTTTAGGAGATTTTAGGTATATAATATGATAAGGAGGGTGGAGGGTAACTCCGCCAGGTATTTTTAACCTGCCGGTCCCAAGCCCGGATAAAGGAGGAGGGCCCTCACTCTTTTCTTTTTTTTTAGATTGTTTTCGTCGGGTCAAATCTTGTTTAGGTTGTAGATGGCACTTGAGTGGTTTTTGTCAGGTTGGAACTTTTTCTTTTTTAAAGATCAGTTCTTTTATTTCCTTTTAGTATAGACTTCCTATTTAGCCCCTTGTTTAGGTAGGAAATTGAACTTAATACTATAAAGTACATAAGTCAAATCTCTTTTAGGCAGGGTTCCCAGACAGCAATATGACGTCTTAATTAAGTCTGCATAAGCTCTATTTTATGATTTGGACTTCAAATAGAACATTAGAAAGAAGTTTTTAAGAAGTTCTTAAGACTTCGAATGCGCCACCTATTGAACTAATCAAGACTTCTCAAAAAAGAACTCTTGTGGAACTTTTGTTAATATAAAAAACAAAAAAGTTACAATCAAAAATGCTACTTTTTTGGGATAAAAAATCTCCGCTAGTTGTCTTACTACGACAATATTATTGTTGGTTCAAGCAACTAAAAAATACAACTAGATAGATAGATAACAAAGAAGACAAGAAATAAAAGAAAATAAAGAAATTAGATAAAGGAGCAGAAGAAGGAAATTAGAAAAAGGAACAGAAGAAGGAAATTAAAAGAAAGAAAATAATAAATTATAACTGACAATTATTGTAAATATTGGCAAATAAAACGACTTGTAAGTATAATTTTAAGAGCTATTTATTTAAACTAACCTGTGGTGTAAAAACACACCACCCTGTATCTTGAAAACAAAGCTTTAAAGCTTACAAGTTCTTATACCTACAAGTTCGATTACAAAATTTTCACGAATAAAATCTGGTAATACAGGTACAATTTATTATTATATTATTACAATTTACCGAATTGGATCCTTTGGCAAAATTATGAAAATGCAACGAATTAGTTCTTGAATTTTATTTGCGTTGAGTTTCTTAATCAATGATATAAGGAATAATCAATCGAAATCGAGTACTAAACCAGTTTATTAGTTTTTTCCTTGCAACGTAAAACACAAATAACGTGTGCAGTTTTGTTCGCAGATTATAAAGGTTGACTAAAACGCGATATAATTGTGCGTTTTAAATGTGAAATTAGAAAGAAATACTTGGGTAAAAGACATTCTACAGCAAAAACAATTATTGCAAATCCAATACCAAAGCAGTAGATGCGAAACAAAATGTAAAAATCCGTAAAATTTAAAGCTTTTTGTCCTTGTCTTTTATTAATTTTTTGTTTGATCGAAAAAATATTGTGTATATCTAAATTTCTTTCCACTATCCCTCCTTCAAATTGCCTCACCAAAATTGAGTTGAATTGATCGAAGATGGGCAGGCTTTTGGTGAAACGCATCGGTAAGTTCACTTCCCAGTGAGACTTGTTTATGTATATCAAAGGTTCTCCGTCTTCTTGGTAACGGTATTTTGCCTCTAAATACTCAAAGGTCCTCACGAAAGTAAGCGCAACTGAATCCCTCTTGAAGGCCACTCTGTCAAAACAATCTTTCTGAGTTTTCAAATAGAGGAAGTGATCATTCATATATTGCTCTTGTTTGGTAGCATTTTTTGACAACGTTTGATATGAATTGCCATTGAAACAAATTAACATGTTGTTCTCGAGGATATCCAGCGAGGTCAGTTCATCTACGTAAAATTTTTCTCCCAAAATCGCTGTCGATTTGCTCTTAAAAGCTGTGGAGACGGTATAAATACAAAGTACGTACACAGCCAAAAAATATCGAGAACTCGTTAGTTTCGGTAATTTGGTAGTTTGTTCTATAATTATTATCAACGGAAAAAACACGGTTACGTCATTTAGAAAAAACGAAACAATCATGAAGAAAACAACTAGAAAGGCGATCAATGACCACAGGCCATGCGAAAAAACTCCGAACATCACCTTGTAGAAGGCTTTCAAAGGCGCCTTGGGCATTATGTTGGTATACTTATCGTAAATGTAGTAAAAAGTACTGTAATACAAATAGGGTGTTTTTTCTGCGCAGCACCCATGGCAAAAATCTATGGAACGGTTTTTTAAACCAAAATAAATATCGACGTCATGCACAGCTTTTATGGTGCGTGCTTTAAATTTGAGTTTTTCCATTATTATTTTGGTCGATATCATATCCAAACCGACTCCGTCTTCAAAAACATATGGTTCAAAGTGTTTATACAGAATATTCACCGTAGTGTTCCTCCAAAGTTTCGGCAGGGTGAATGTAAAATTTTGGTGTACCTCCAAATCTCCATTCTTACACACTCCAAATTCAAAATACTCCAAATTCGGCTGGTGCAGATTTTCGTGCACATAAGGATTGTATGTGTACAATGAATACTGATTTTTACCATTCTCAACCAATATTATCGATTTAAATACATAATAATCTGCCAGTATTTTAAAGAAAGAACTATTTATCGCATTTTGGATGAAAACAAACAATATTCTCGTGTCAAAGTGTTCCACATCACGGAGTTTCTCAAACGTGTCCGCCAAGTCGTCCTGATTTATATTAACTACAAAAGCACTTATGTATGGAGGAACTGAATCGAAGTCGGCCCAGCTGGAGTTCGATTTTGAGTACGAAGCATGTCTCAAGCTTAAATTTTCGTCGAATACAATAACGTAATCATTTTTCCGAATAACAAGATCTAAAACGGAATCCACACATCCAGATAAACTTGTTTTTTCCTCCGGTAGAATAAAAGCATTGGAGGAAAATGCAAAGTTGAAAAAATTTACCGAAATAATTAGTAGAATCAAAATCATTTTATTTATGACCAACTTTTTGTTGTGATCTAGGTATTTATAATTTTGTTAGACAATTTAAAACACATTATATGTTTTAGTTATCAGAATATATTATTAAATTTAGTGCTATTTATTTAGATGGAAATGTAATTGAATCCATTAGATATAAGAAAAATAAAATATATTGTAATAACTGTATTATTAAAAATAAATAAATACCTAAACATTGTTAAATTGATAAAGACACATTTTTTAGTAAAAAAATATTTACAATTTTATTTTACAGCGGCCATAAACAATGCATTTACATATCTATAGACTTATAAACGCTTTTAAAATTTCAAATCAATATCTTTTTTCTTCCCCCAGAAACTTCTAATCACCGTATATTATCACAAAAGATGCTCTGGTTTTACAAATAAAGTAATCAATGCTAAGTTTTGTGTAACTTTTCCCAAGTTAAAGCAATAAGTACTAAATTTAAATATTCACTTATCTCGTGTAGATTGTTTAGATGAGTTTGCGAGGTTTCAAAACTTGATGATTAATCTCTTCGCTTTCTGGCCTTAGTCCTATTATTCACCGAACATTAAATTACAAAAAAATATAAAAAAAATGTTCCCGACCTTGAAATAAGCTTTTACGCAAAATTAAATTAGAACCCCTTTTCTAGCAATAAAATAACCGTTTTCAGAATATAGAGAATAATCGAGCTATCAAAGCCACAAACAATTGTTCGAAATTTCGGTGACAAAACATAAATTATTCGTTGTTTTCCTGTATTTTTCAGCATAAAAGAGAGATTATTTTCAGTAAATTATAGCTTTAACCTCATAAATTCGAATGTATGGACATCTAGTGGTTTATATCAACTGTAAGAGTAATTGACCCAACTCTTCTTAAGGAGGTTAACCTGAAATAATAATAGTAAGAAAAATCGAAACTGTACAAAACACTTTATTAAATCAGAACTTAGTTTTTTTACAATATTTGTTTTTGAGTTTTATTTTTTCTTCCTTAAAAATGGACTAATAATCGTTTAAATCCGATGTTAAAGCAGTTTTTCACAATGAAAATTTTGTTTTTTTGTATTGAGAAAAAATTTAGTATTTTTTTTACGAGAAGGGCACTTTATTTTGACAATACGCTAAAGAAGTATAGGGCATGGGGAATAATTTTGGTAATAATTTATTTCCCATTCGAATTATTTAATTTTTATTTTAAAATTCAAAACTGCATTTTTATTAAAATTCTCTATGTCTCCGACTCCAAACAATAATATTTTGCGTTTAATCGAGCGTAGGCCAGTGAAATAACGGAAATATTTTTTTAAATAGCTGTATTTAAGGACGATATCATCTGCCGAATCATTAGAATTCCAAAGGCAATTCCGATTTGCACCGATACCGAAACCTACGAATTGTAATAAAACCTGTTAAGAATTTTAACACCTAATAAGTCTTGCAAAAGTGTGCTAAATTTGGTTCTTTCTAAACATTTTAGCTATTTTCTTATAAATATTTAAAAAGGATAGTTCGTTTATTGACATTTACATAAAAACAAGAATATTTGAATTTTTAATAATAGTTTTATAAAAACATGCAAAAAGTATAGTAATTGGACATTTTATATAGTTATTGGACCATAGTTATTGGACATACAATTTTTATATAAACATAACAACTTTACATCAAATAACATAAATTGTTAAATATTTTTTAAAGATAAATTGCTGTTTCAGGTAATTTTTTTATTTCGTTTTTGTAAATATCATATAATTCATATATTTCTTTCTCGGATTCCTCATCCCTTTTCTGGATTCTGAAGGTAACTACTAATTCCTTGGTCTGACTTCTGAAATATTTTGTTGCAAATATCATTAGGTGTGGTATCTCTAGTTTGTGAAGCATTTATAATGTTTGGGCCGGAACAGGATGATTTATATTATATCTAATATTTTTTCGGGTGGTATGTTAAAAGTATTTTCCGAATTTATTAATTTTGTTGCCATTAGTTTTTTATTTTCTCTATCATGCACTGTATTTAAATCACTGTTATTCTGCAAGATGTCCTGTGACGAAGAAATCACTATATTACTTACTCTCTAAAAATGAATAAGTCAAAAATGTCATAGCGAAAAAGTAGCCACAAATAATTCTCGTCAAGATCAATTTGTATTCAGGACATTTAGCAGTCTATTCCTATGAAATATTATTCGCTGAATCCGAAAATGTCGTCAAAAGTTATAAAAGTAGAACAGTTTTTGAAATATAATCAATTTTACATATAATATGGAATTGACTATATCTCAAAAACTGCTTAACTTTTATAGTTTTTGACGGTCTTTTCGGATTCAGGGGACAATTTTACATAAGAATTGGCTGGTAAATGTCCGGGACACAAATAGAGTATGATATTGGACATATATCCAATAATAGTTTTAACCGTTTTGTGAAGTGTTGAAATTATATTTGGGGAAAATATTTTGCAATGAAAATCGATAGAATTTTATAGCTTAAGAAAAATAATGCAGTTGACCTAAATTGGTTCAAAAATAAATTTTAAAAACTTACATAAACTAAGAAACAATGTAGCTCGCTTAATAAAACTGTTATTATAATATTACATAAACAAAATTGTAAAGTTTTCATGAATTTTTCTGTAACTTAAGACTTAATGTAGGAAATTAGTGCTGTAGGCATTTTAACTTGGATAATACTTAGGTGTGTTTTCTTTGGTTCTTCCAAGAATATGGTTATATTCATTTTGAAATACAATTACATAAAGCATGGTTTCAGTTTTTGCTTATTTTTTTTCGAATTTCATGTGAACCAATTATTAATTAAAATGTATAACTAAAAATAAAATTAATACAATTGTAAATATAATCCGTAAAAAATATTTAAAACTTCGGACAACGAATAAAACTTTTGAAATTCGCATAAAAAAGTAAAAACAAAATCAGATTCAATAAATAAAAAATTAATAAAAAAGTTTTGCCATCAAAAATTGTCATCTCCTTCAAGGTAAATACTAGAATACATACATTGGGAAATGGAATAAATATTTTTTATGTAAATTGAATTTTGTTTTTGTCATATACGGTTAAATAAGAATTTTTTATTGGGTTTGATTAAAATTAATTGAGAAACCTTTTAAAAAACATAAACGATATTTTATTTTTAAAATACATTTATTATAAGAAGGACAGCCACGTGTATGTTTTTATCATTTTTAACTAAACGGCAATTTTTCCACATTGTTGCCAATAACTTTTCTACAACGTAAGTAAAAAAAAGAATAGTAGATTTTTTGAATCACCTATACGGTGATACTATAGTACCTATGCATATAAAGAAAAGTTAAGAATAAAATCTAATAACATTCTTGTTCGTTTTTATTAGATTTAAATCAAAGGAACAGGTATTTTACAAAAGCGGATATTAAAACCAGTAGGTAATACACAAATTCTTGGAATCTTTGGAAATTCAATTTTATTCAAATTATGCTTATAATATATATATTGGTTTTTCTTCGTATTTCTTTTTTATTTCAATATTGTAACTTACAAGGAAGTCACAATTTGTAAGTACCTATACTTCTTCCCGGAAAATGTATTTATTATATTAATGATAACATTGAAGACGTTGAAGGCTAAAGATATTGTCCTTTCTAATATAAACCTAAATAAATAATGTTTTACTAAAAATTGTGTCTTTATCAATTTAACAACGTTTATGTATATATTTATTTTTAATAATACAGTTATTACAATATATTTTATTTTTCTTATAATGGATTCAATTACATTTTCCATCTATATAAATAGCACTAAATTTAATAATATAGTCTGATAACTAAAACATATAAAATGGGTTTTAAATTGTCTAACAAAATTATAAATACCTAGATCACAACATTAAAGTTACTCATAAATAAAATGATTTTGATCCTACTAGTTATTTCGTTAAATTTTTTTAACCCTCCAATGCTTTTATTCTACCGGAGGAGAAAACAAGTTTATCTGGATGTGTGGATTCCGTTTTAGATCTTGTTATTCGGAAAAATGATTACGTTATTGTATTCGGCGAAAATTTAAGCTTGAGACATGCTTCATACTCAAAATCGAATTCCAGCTGGGCCGACTTCGATTCAGTTCCTCCATACATACGTGCTTTTGTAGTTAATATAAATCAGGACGACTTGGCGGACACGTTTGAGATACTCCGTGGTGTGGTACACTTTAACACGAGAATATTGTTTGTTTTCATCCAAAATGCGATAAATAGTTCTTTATTTAAAATACTGGCAGATTATTATGTATTTAAATCGATAATATTGGTTGGGAATGGTAAAAATCAGTATTCATTGTACACATACAATCCTTATGTGCACGAAAATCTGCACCAGCCGAATTTGGATTATTTTGAATTTGGAGTGTGTAAGAATGGAGATTTGGAAGTACACCAAAATTTTACATTCACCCTGCCGAAACTTTGGAGGAACACTACGGTGAATATTCTGTATAAACACTTTGAACCATATGTTTTTGAAGACGGAGTCGGTTTGGATATGATATCGACCAAAATAATAATGGAAAAACTCAAATTTAAAGCACGCACCATAAAAGCTGTGCATGACGTCGATATTTATTTTGGTTTAAAAAACCGTTCCATAGATTTTTGCCATGGGTGCTGCGCAGAAAAAACACCCTATTTGTATTACAGTACTTTTTACTACATTTACGATAAGTATACCAACATAATGCCCAAGGCGCCTTTGAAAGCCTTCTACAAGGTGATGTTCGGGGTTTTTTCGCATGGCCTGTGGTCATTGATCGCCTTTCTAGTTGTTTTCTTCATGATTGTTTCGTTTTTTCTAAATGACGTAACCGTGTTTTTTCCGTTGATAATAATTATAGAACAAACTACCAAACTACCGAAACTAACGAGTTCTCGATATTTTTTGGCTGTGTACATACTTTGTATTTATACCGTCTCCACAGCTTTTAAAAGCAA